AGTCCATCTGTTTGTCCTGCCAATAATTAACTGCTTTTAAGATTTCTTTGTGGACATTATTGATAGGTGTGTCGTGACCATATGGTATACGGTATATACGTAGCTTCTGAACAGAAGCAGACATTTTCTGGTAAACCTCTAGATAGATGGACAATAATATAATATTACATGTATTAAATGATTCATAGAGCTTTAGGTATATGTACTAAGTCAATATAATAATTAGATGAAGCCACCGCAATTTTACTACAAATTGTATTGACGGACCAAATCGTACAATGCACCGTTGCAGTGTTTGCACTATAATATGAAGACTGTAATCGAGATATATATACAGTCAATATAGTCCATATGTTGTTATAAGCCATATTGATCTTGTTTGGCTTGTAACTGGGTTTGTTTACCGGGCTGCAGGGGAAGGCAGCTGGCTGGGAGTACTTAGGTTTGCTATAATTGATGTAATTATCACTAATGCCATCAATACACATATATACATATGTACATAGGTCCTCTGTATGGTAACTTCTACAGCAAGTGGTACGTGTATGCTGATAAGCTGTATAGGATCTACTGTAACCCAGTGTATGTTCTCATGGTGTGGGATATATTTTATAAACACAGTGCTTTTTCTTCCTTAATTATACATCGGCCTGTTCCTGCATGAATTAGGAAAATTGATATTTTTATTGAATTTAGGTATAGATATTCCTCATTTTCCCTTCATTTTGGGAAAATTAAATACTATTCTTCAAAGGGAAGCAGTCTATTTATTCCGGCTGTAAAACTACGCGAAAAAACACTAAAATAGTCCATATCATATGTGTCTGATATACTTACAGGAAATTTCATATGACAATGCCTAATTAACACTGAAAAATAAGTTCATTGTAAAAGACTTAAATTTGTTACTAGTGTAATGTTTTAAAATCTTAGTCACAGTGAGTCACTTATAAAGGAGTTTATTATGCAGTTTGTGCGTACCGGTATATATGTTAACATAAAGGGTGTGGTCCTTTTAAATCTTAATCACTACGCGTGCGCACATGCAATGATGAGGGTGATGCTTGTGTATGGTTAAATCAGGGCCATTAAGTTTTTCATAGTTCAAATGTTTGAAATGTATTTGAAAAATATTTGAATTATTTCAGAAACATACACCCCTGTGCATGTACTTAAATAAGTTCTATAGTTTTGAATTTTAGTGTTTTTGTAAAGAAGATCAAGCGTTGTATTACAACGACTTGTTACACTTAAAAAAGCCATGCCCTGAACAACCCATATAGCATCTCATGTTCAACAGATTACAATGATGAGTTGCATATCTGTAAATAATACCTCCCCAGTCCTCCCCCTTCCAAGTTTATCTGTTGTAGCTCTACTATGGTATTCATTTACCGGATAGGCACTGCAGAAATGTGTATGAGTGTTTATTATTGATATTGACAAAAGTCGCACACCAAGTCAGTATACCAATCTGATAAGAGCAAGGTTAAGCTTATCAATACCATGGATACATTGTACTTTAAAGCCTCTTATAATTTCTGATATTGCTTCGACCACTGCATCTTTCCAGGTTACACGATTTAACAGGTAAACAATTATGTAATTTCCTATCATTTATCAGATGCTCAAGTTTCAAAGATGAAGCCCAGTTAAGTTACAGGTTGTTTTGGAGGATTTGTTATTTTATGATGCAGTGTTACTAGCTTAGAATATATATATAAAATAAATTGGAGTGTTTCCGTGTAACTATTTCAATAAAAAAAAATCAATGCATAATTTGTGGATGATAATAATTCTCAGTACATTGAGAAATTAGGTGTAGAAACAGAATATTTATATTATCCATGGTAAAAACAAATTCTGGATGAATTCACAAAAAAAAACACATAAAATATAGATGTTTCCCCCTGGACTTTTATGAGTCATATCATGTTTATAATAATATATAACCTTACTTTTGCTATATCTAAGTCAGTAATGTCCAATAACCATACATTCTGGACTGATACTTGGAGGATATAATCTGATTGTCCGTAGATGGTAGCAGACTTATCTAATGATGTAACCTCCAGTGCCATTCAATTTCACAGAGTCCATAAATGTCAGGGGTGACATATATATGTTTGTCTGTGTTATTATCTGCCCTTTGTGTACAGTGTGTGTTATGTTGGCCCCAGGTGTTCGCACACCATTGAAACACAGTACAAAGTTCATTATACTAAAGGTAGAGACTATATAATACACCTACCCTGTGAAGTAATGTCCACAGGTAACACAGTAATTAGGGCAACTTTACATAACGGGATAAACATAAGTATTTAATAATATATACAAATGTACATACACGTACAAGTATAATGTATACATATATTGACCACGTGCATTTTAGGTGTCAAATGTGTGCTTGTATAAGTATACAACAGCAGTGCTTATCAATGGCAAAAAGAACCCGACCACGTGCATTTTAGGTGTTAATATTGATACATATAGGCTTTAAAAGTAAACGCAATAATGATAGAACATGGGTTTGGTAACAGCTTGAGTCATAGAACAGCTGATTGATCATCAACAAGTTCTTCAGGTATAAGATATATGTTTATAACAGAATAAATAAAAAAAAAACCACCATTTGGCGACAGATGTACATTAAGTTGAGCAGGACGCAATATATCGGTTATTCCATAAGCTTGACATGGGCGGGCAGAGTGCGAGAGATTACCTATTGATATCAATATTTTAAGAGTTAGACATGTTGGGGCGAGTGACACGATGCTTGCAGTAAGAAGTGTGAATGTCAGAAACAGATGTGTCACAGGTTTTGGATGCCAGAGGGCTTATGAAAATCTGAATATCAGTAAACTGGTAATGGTTTACTCTCTGGGACAGTGTCCCACCTGCCCACGTGCATTGCAGGTGTCAAATGTGTGCTTGTATAAGTATACAACAGCAGTGCTTATCAATGGAAAATTTTGGGGTTGTTGTGGGTCATTGGCCTAAGATTATAAACCTTTTTGATACATATCTCTGTGTCTGAAATACTGAAAAAAGGACCCGACCTTAATGTATCTACATCGGCTTTCAAACATATTTGGACAGTATTATATATTATCTCATGTTCTGTTTATAAAGAAATAATGTATCCGACCACCAATGTGGATGGATAATAAGATGCACAGATGACAGTATGAGTAGTTTACATTGACACTTGTAATAAAATAATGTTATTGAAACATGTACATGCTGTATATACATATAAACACATCTTGGTTGTTCACTGGTACATACACAATACATGTACATATAGAACATAAATTACTGCTACATTGATGAGAAGAGTCAAATACAATACAATACATTTTATTTTATTAAAAGTGTCACTTGACAATTGTGCATACTGTACAAGCATGATCCAAAAATGTACAAACAATATATGATTGACACAAGTAAAGGCTTCGGAGGCGCTTTAAATATTCGTTCATACAACATAGTTCATCAATACTGAAAACTAGTTCTTAATACTAAAATCTAATAATTCAATTCTAAAAACTGGTTTGTCAAAACTAGTTCTCAATACCATACTAGCCAACTTCATGATTTTCCATCGGGGAGATTCTGCATGCTCAAAATTAAACTTTACATGACATATCTAGAGTTGTTCTTTCAGAGGAAATAATTTGATCTTAGAATATAGGAAAAGTTTCACAAATTCACTGAATGAAAATGCTAAATTTAAGGGTCCAAAATCGGGAGTCTCCCTCCTTAATAGAGATAGTTGGCAAGTATGCAATACTACAAACTGGTTCATCAAAACAAGTTCTTAATACTAAAACCTAGTTTGTCAATAATAGTTCATCAATTCTAAAGGAAGGTTTAGACTCGATATCAAAGGCACATTATTCTACGCTACATCTTATGAACTGTGCTTGTATACCTTGTGGTGGCCATATAACTAAGGTTAATGTCAGGACATCACCTTGTTTACCACTCAGTGTACAAGCTTGATTACCCAGGTGTGGTGTCGTAAAAACACACTGGATGACTGATGTATTACTTAGGCGTAATTATTTGGACACTAGCAATGTATGATGGCCAGCTGAGCCTAAAGCTTATATAACAATGTATCTGTTAGGTGTGGAATCAGCTGATTGTGATACACAAGTCAGGTGTGTTGATTAATCTGTCCAGTCAGGCGTGAAAAGGTAAACCAGGTGAACATTTACCTGTATATAAACCTGTCCTATAAGTCCAGATGAACTCAAAATGACGTTAAGGAGCAGGAATACTCCCTAGAAACATGGCTTATACCTAAAGATTGTATATATATATACACATGTGTATTATAATAAATTTACATAAATGATTTATGTATGTATAGGGGTATATAAAGTAGGTGACACAGTGACCCTACCAAGTCTGCTTATGCAATAAAATGTATATTTGTAGACCTTACCTTCACTTAAGGAATTTCTGACACCGACAAACTAGTAGATCATTAAATATATAGCATGATGATGAAGTCTTTTGTTTTTTAATCAACACTGTTTTAATGACCATCTTAATTACCTTCACTTAAGAATTCTTGACATTGACATACTTACTGGTAGATCATAAAACATGTAATCTACACAATGATTATAGGTCATGTCTTTTGATCCACATCCTTAGCATTAAATTTGTTTATCTCAAAAACTTTACTTTAGTTTTAATGTGATTATTTTTTCTATGCCCACCAAAAATGTAAATGTTAAATGATGAACTTTTAAAATCTTATTACATAAATTTTCTGAGGATGAAAAATGTTCTTTCATTAATGAGGTGTTATATTCTACACTCAATCTGATTAAAATAATATCTTCAATATACTGTTATGCTATGTGTATTTTAATCAGATTACTCTAAATTCTACTTATGCAAATCAAAGTATTGAAGCAGTTTCAAAATCATGAATATATTTTTTTTCGCTGTCATAATACATATTTCTGTTTGTGTCTTTCCAGGAAACAACCAATCATGTTTACCTGGTTATGGAGGTAGGTTTATCTAAGTTATTAACTTTAGAACAGAAATGGAAGTAATGATTAAAGATACATAATAAACAAAAATCATGTTTAAGAATTGAATTATGGATTTCCGAAAAAAACCCACATATAAAACAGAAATATTTCTATAAATGAATGCTTTTTGACACTTATGCCAATATATTTTATATGAAATTGTAGGATGTTAAGAAATAAAAAAAACTCCTTGTTTTTTAATTCATTTGTATGTATATTTTGCAGAAAATAATTCATGTTGAATTGTCATTATATTTTTTTGCAGTACTGCAATGGCGGAGATCTTGCTGATTTTTTGCAAGGTAAAACTCATGTGTGAACTCAATGTTATTTATATCCCACAACTCAAAAGTGTTCTTGCATATATACATATCTGGTCATAGCTACATGTACTTAGATTTGGCAGCATGACTAGTCAGATGTGAACTGACCTGATGCTATTTAGACCTTCACAAACAACACCATGTCTGGAGCCTTACAAAAATAAAGCTACCACTTTAAACCATGGCCAGTACATGATGCAACACCGGTTTATACTGAGTACGTTTATACCATTGTATGGAAAGGACAGGACCACAAATAAGGACAGATTACATAATTCATTAAATCCAGATGAGTTAAGAGTTCTTAAACTACTTTATACAGTTGAAGAAGGATTTCCCTAAGGACCAAATTATTTGGATGGTTTTGACTAAAATCCAGATTGGACAGAGTCTGGTTTGGGCATATAGGACACTATACATGTAAATGTTTATGATATTTTACACCAATATAATATATACAATGTTATTTGAAAACTTTTTTTTAAAGCTATGACATTAAAATCATGTTTTTGTAAAAATCATATAATATGATTTTGTACTTTTATCGCTTTAAGTCAATTATTGAACTTGATTACACTTGTGTTGTTTCAGCAAAGGGAACGTTGAGTGAAAACACAATTTCCCAATTCCTGAGGCAAATAGGTAAGTCGTACAAAGGTCATAGGGCAAAGGTCATAGGGCAGTTATATTTATAGTGTTATAGGTCAACTAAGCATTCATAAGTACAGTATAACTACTGCTATAAAAAAGTATTAAGTACCTTTACAACATGCACAGAGATATGATGTCTGAAATAGTCCATCATGGGTGATTGTTGTAAATGTTTCCGATATGATAGGAAGTAAATGCTTTCAAATCTTTCATAAAATTTTCAAGCGAGATATAAAGGAAATCATTGATAACCTAATACAGCGCAAGTGAGCCTGTTTGAATTATTGATTTATAAATTATATATTATTTTGTCGAAGACGGAAGTGATGAAGTAAATTTCCATCCTGATACTTGGTGATAAATTGGCATTATATTGAAATTCTATGAATCCTCCCTGTAATATGAAAATGACATGAATATTTACTGCCGCAGAATTTATTTTTCCGTCCAAAGTAGTTGCTCTGGCATCAATTTCAGGTCATGTTATTATACATCATGTGTAATCACTTACATCACCATTTACAATCCAAAGGAAAACCAGTCTGTTCAGTTAAAACAACATAAAGATTTCTATATAAATATGTCAGCAACCTTGTGCTGGTTTGATATGACGGATGGTATAGACCTGTGTATCATAACGTATCTGTTTTACCACAGCTGCTGCTATGAGGGCCTTACACGGCAAAGGAATTGTACATCGAGATTTGAAACCACAGAACATCTTACTCCAAAATCCTCCTGGCAAAACCAATCCCTCACCGTGTGAGATGATTCTCAAGATTGGTAGGTATATATATACAAAATGTATATATATATATCATTGGTTCTAGATCAGTGTGTTCATCAGTACTGTCGGTTATTTATATTTTGTGGGATATTCCTTATCATTGCCTCTTTTCATCGTTCAGTTTTCTACCTGAAAACTTGAATCAACAACAATGGCAGGCAAAAGAACATTTATCAGAATAATGGTGGAAAACGGATTAATGACAGAAGACAAATAATGACGTGGCATTACCATAGCGTAAAATAGTGCAGAAATGTTTGGAACCTACCTATGATTGTTTGAATTCTTCAATTTGATCAGTAGATCATAAGTGATTAGTCCCAGGCAAATAGGCGCTCAGCTACTGGGGTAACATGAATTCTTTAATACACTATGTATGACAGTGTGAAATACAGGACCTTGCATTGCATGGTCTGAACCTGACTATATGGCTATAGTAAGATTCACAAAGTGTGTAATTAAGTACATTAGGATCAACTTTACAGCTATGATAATGAGATATGATTCTAGTATACCATTACAGCTATGATAACAGTGTGTCATAGCGATGTGTGTAATAATTATTATATCAATGCCATCTTTTTCAGCTGACTTCGGATTTGCTAGATTTCTGAATGATGGCGTGATGGCAGCAACTCTGTGTGGCTCTCCAATGTATATGGTATGTATGTGTATATATTCTGTTCTGTCCAACAAATGTGGCTGGCCTATATGTATATTGTCTGTTTTGTATGCTCCCTGTTCAGTCCAACATTTAGTGGTTGTACCAGTATATGGTTATAGGTATGCCAACTGTTCAGTCCAACACTGTGGCCCTCCTATGTAACTATATGGAGTGTACTTATGTATATATTCCGTTCAGTCCAACACTGTTGCCCTCCTATGTAACTACATGGAGTGTACTTATGTATGTATTCTGTTCAGTCCAATACTGTGGCCTTCCTATGTAACTATATGGAGTGTACTTAGGTATATATTCTGTTCAGTCCAACACTGTTGCCCTCCTATGTAACTATATGGAGTGTACTTATGTATATATTCTGTTCAGTCCAACAACCATGATTGTCCTTTATGTATATGGTTTGTTTCATATACATCATATTGTCTTCTTGTGTATATGGTTAGGTATGTATATGAATATCAACAGTTCAGTCCAACAGTTTGTGGCTCCAAAGAGACCTTTAAGAGCCACATGTTTGCGGAATGAGCAGTCACTCAGTATACATGAAATAAAGTGAATTGTCTGGGTCTGTAATAAACAATGATGAACCTTAACCCTCTCACCCCTGAATAACTAAAGTAGACTCAACCATGCATTGATCTGGATGAGTCCATTATGGTCTACAGTGGTAAAAGGGTTAATATTGTGCATTTAGTATATCTGTGTGTACAGTGTCCCTATTGGTACAAAGTTATGATATGATGTCTGTTTATACAGGCTCCTGAGGTGATAATGTCGATGCAGTACGATGCCAAGGCAGACCTGTGGAGTATAGGGACCATAGTGTTCCAGTGTCTGACAGGGAAAGCTCCGTTCCAGGCACAGACTCCACAACAACTCAAACACTTCTATGAAAAACATGCAGAACTTAAACCTAAGTAAGTCTCTCATCATGAAAATGCATATTCCAGGAAAATCTGTGATAAATTCATGTTTTATTTTGATGACTATGGCTGTCCTAGTAGTGTGAAAAGATTAAATTCTTGTAGAAAAACAGTTACAATTTTAAATGTCTCACTTCTTCAGACATATTATCTAAAAATTAATATGCACAATCTTTTCACAAAAAAAATCACAAAATAGTGTTTTAAGTTCATTTCTTAAGTTCTACAAGTTCTATGAAAGTGATTGCAAGCCTTTGTTGTTTGTTTTCACAATTATAACCATTACTATTATCCCTATGTTGTAAAGCGCCTTAGAGTAATTTTACAAATTATATAGGGCGCTATATAAATATTGTATATTATTATTAGCTCACCTGGCACGAAGTGCCAAGTGAGCTTATGCCGTGGCGCGGCGTCCGTCATCCGTCCGTCGTCCGTCCGTCCGTCGTCCGGCGTCAATGTTTTACTTTAAACGACTTCTTCTTAATAACCGAAAGGCCTACAGTGATGATATTTGGCCAGAAGCAAACTGGGATGAAGGGCTACAAAGTTTGTTAAAATTAATGACCTTCACCCAATTTCAAGGTCACAGGGGTCAAATAAGTTAAAAACTTTTAACATCGATAACCAAACTGGCCAGGGAGACGATACTTGGCCAGTAGCATGCTTGGGTAAAGGGCTACCAAGTTTGTTCAAATAAATGACCTTCCAATATATTCAAGGTCACAGGGGTCAATTGTCTTAAAAAACCTTTAAACAACTTCTTCTGAATAACCAAAATGCACAGGGTGATGATATTTGGTCAGTAGCATGCTGAAGGGCTACCAAGTTTGTTCAAATGAATGACCTTCACCCATATTCAAGGTCACAGGGGTCAAATATGTTAAAAACATTAAACAACTTCTGAATAACCAAAATGCCCAGGGTGATGATATTTAGTTAGTAACATACTTGGATCAAGGGCTACCAAGTTTGTTTAAATGTATGACGTTGAATCATATTTAAGGTCACAAGGAGCAAATATGTTCAAAATATTTAAAGAACTTGTTCTGAATAACCAAAAGACTCAGGATGTTGATATTTAGTCAGTAGCATGCTTGGATTAAGGACTACTATGTTTGTTAAAGTGAATGACTTTGACATATATTCGAGGACACAGGGGTCAAATTTGTTTAAAATCTTTAAACAACCTCTTCTGAATAATCATGGGTCCCAGGATGTTGATACTTTGCAAGTTGCATCCTCAGATGTAAGGCTATAAAATTTGTTCAACATAATGACTTTGTTCGACTTTCAATCACAGGGGTGAAATGTTTAAAAAAAAAAAAAACCAGGCTCTTTTGAATGAATTTTAATCATAAATACTGATATTTTGCCTGTAGCTTTATTTTAGATCACTTTTAAGGTTACAAGTGTGAGATTTATACCAGGTGAGCGATGCAGACCCGTTGGGCCTCTTGTTATTATTACAAAAGAAATTTTCAAAATTGTAAAAAAATAAATTTACCACAGAATCATTGCCATTTTTTGTTTCTGATTGCATTATATTGATTGTAATGCTATTGTATAATTTGTGTTTCAACTCTTGTCACAGTGTTCCTAAAGACACATCATCGGGACTGAAGGACCTGTTGCTTAGAATGCTCAAAAGGAATGCTCGAGACAGAATTGCTTTTGGTGAGTGAAAAAGGATGAGGCAATACTGACTTAGAACTCTGTGTCCCTTTAAAATAAGGCACAGCGTTAAGTAGGAGAGAAAAGGACAGAGCTATGACAGTGTCCTGTGCCTCTAACATAGGATGTAGCCTTAAGTAGGAAAGAAAAGGACAGAGCTATGACAGTGTCCTGTGCCTCTAACATAGGATACAGCCTTAAGTAGGAGAGAAAAGGACAGAGCTATGACAGTGTCCTGTGCCTCTAAAAAAAGAGTATCTTAACTGAAGACAGTCTGTACAAATCCTTACATAATTATACAGTCTTGGTTTTGAATTTAAGTCAGTTTGAAAAAGAAATGAAAACTTTACATAAACTAGTTGTTAGTGGTGAGTTGATAAATTATCAACAAGTAGGTCCAGGATGTTGATAACTTCCTGTGAGTATATACAAGTACAGCGGTATACTGGTGACCAACACATTGAGCTATTGAACAGTACTGGTGTATATACACTTGTAAACAATACTGTATCATTGATAAATAACTTAAAGAATGGTTAACACTAATCAGACAAATTAAAATATATTTATGTGTATATGAAAATACACTACTCTTGATCATTAATGGCCGATGCCTCTGTATAGTAGACAATGAATATTGAATGAATGACTCATTGCTAAGGCCCCTGGAGTTGCTTCCCCTGTTTGTCCCCACTTCCTGTTTTGATGAGTATTGTTTGTCGTTTCAGAGGACTTCTTTATTCATCCTTTCCTGAACCCACCACCAGCAATAAAGGCCTGTAAGTACCAATTTCCTGTGTCACAAAAGCAAAATGATGCAATGTATTTCTTAGTGGTTTAATTGAGATATTAATATTAAAATATAATCATTTATATCGAAATAGTAATCAATAGTCCTTATGTTGATGTAACTGTTTTATCAGAATTTCCATAATTGATTTTTCAAATCTGAAAGAGAAGTAAATTGTTGATATTACAGCTTCTCCAGTACCGGTTCCCAGTCGATCTAGTCATGGTTTCTCGGTGGGGAGCCCCACTCCTCCTAGTCACTTGTCTGCCTCCCCCCTGTCTGGACGGGCAGAGTTCTCCCCGCCCCCTCGCCGTCCCCCACCGCCTCCTCCACCAACACTTACACCTCTACCCTCACCCCCTTCGGTTCCCTCACCTGTCAGGATTACGCCTCCAAAGCCTCTCCAAGTCATCAAGCGAGAGGAAGCAGAAGCTTTTCATGGCTCATCACAAGAAGTGGCTGGTTTCCTGAAGGTGGAGAAGGACGGACAGACACCCAGAAGTAACAGCCCTACGGAGGTAAGTAGTGTTGCTCTTCCCCCTTCAGTTTTTGCTAGTTTCGTTTCCTGTTCCTACTTACATTTCAGTATTGAATTAGGTTTATACAATAGGTTTATATAGTTTCAGAATGATAAATCCCATTTTTATATTGTTACAGAACAAGTTTTCCAAACTCAATTCAAAGTTTGCACTAAATATTCAAAACTGAAAAACTGGTAGATGATGATTGAATGATGTAATACAACTGTCGTTTGATATCCTGATTAAACAAGCAGCATTGTTTGTTGTATACATGTATCTAATAAATACATAAATAGTGTTATTCTTTCTAATAGAAACTGATATTTAAATGTGGTTTAGAAGTCAATTTAATGTAAAAAAAAATGATCACCCTCTATCTTATTCTGAATCGATTACCCTCCTTTGAATTTATTAGAACTCTAATGCAGCATATTAAATAGTTGTTTTCTTTTCAGGACTTTGTGATGGTACCCGTGAGTTTACCATGTGGAAACTTACAAGGTATGAATCTCATCACAGTAACAGTGGTTTGTGTGTACGTGACAGTGGAATCTTCTTAACCTCAGACACTAGAATATCACAGTTAATATCTTTGACAGATTTAAAAATATTCCAGTTTATATCTTTTTCAGACGCAGTGAAATATTCTGGTATATTTTGTTCCTAATGAATCTCATTTAAGGACTCTATGATTCAATGATTTTAGTTCATAGAAAATTCATGATTCAATGCTTTTTAGCTCACCTGGCCCGAAGGGCCAAGTGAGCTTATGGCATGGTGCGACGTCCGACGTCCGGCGTCAACTTTTTACTTCAAACAACTTCTTCTGAATAACCAAGAGGCCTAGGATGATGATATTTGGCCAGTAACATGCTTGGATGAAGCGCTTCCAAGTTTGTTCAAATGAATGACCTTGCCTTATATTCAAGGTCACAGGGGTCAAATATGTTAAAAACATTTAAACAACTTCTTCTGAAAAACCAAGAGGCCTAGGGTGATGATATTTGGCCAATAACATGCTGGGATGAAGGGCGACCAAGTTTGTTCAAAGAAATGACCTTAACTTATATCCAAGGTCACAGGGGTCAAATATGTTAAAAACATTTAAACAACTTCTTCTGCAAAACCAAGAGACCTAAGGTGATAATATTTGGCCAGTTATATGCTGGGATGAAGGGCTGCCAGGATTTTTCAAATAACTGACCTTGCCTTATATTCAAGGTCACAGGGGTCAAATATGTTAAAAACATTTAAACAACTTCTTCTGAATAACCGAGAGGCCTAGGGCGATGATATTTGGCCAGTAACATGCTGGGATAAAGGGCTGCTAGGATTTTTCAAATAACTGACCTTGCCTTATATTCAAGGTCACAGGGGTCAAATATGTTAGAATCTTTTAAACAACTTCTCCTGAATAACCGAGAGGCCTAGGGTGATGATATTTGGCCAATAACATGCAGGGATGAAGGGCTACCAAGTTTGTTCAAGGAAATGACCTTGACTTATATCCAAGGTCACTGGGGTCAAATATGTTAAAAACATTTAAACAACTTCTTCTGAAAAACCAAGAGACCTTGGGTGATAATATTTGGCCAGTAACATGCAGGGATGAAGGACTTACCAAGTTCAAATGAATGACCTTGACATATATATTTAAAGGTCACAGGGGTCAAATATGTTTAAAACCATTAAATGACTTCTTCTTAATAAGCAAAAGGCCAAGGGTGATGATATTTGGCTATTAACATGCTGGGATGAAGGACTACCAAGTGAATGACCTTCACCCATATTCAAGGTCACAGTGGTCAATATATGTTTAAATCTTTAAATGATTTGTTTTGTATAACCAAAAGGTCCAGGGTAATGATATTTTTCCAGAAGCATGCTGGGTTGGAAGACTATAAACTCTGTTCAACCTAATATTATAATGTCCTTGTTCGACATTCAAGGTCACAGGTGTCATATATTTAAATCTTTTAATAGGTTCTAATGAATGAAACACTGATATTTTGCCTGTAGCTGTATTTTAGTCCACTTTTAAGATTACAAGTGTGAGATTAATACCAGGTGAGCGATGCAGGCCCATTGGGCCTCTTGTTTATATAACATATTTAAATTTCTGGTACACTGTCATCAAAATTAAACTGTTGAGTAAAATGTATGACCTTAAAAAACATAGGATGATAAAAAAAAGGGTGACAAAATGCTAGTACAGGGCATTTAAAAAGTGTTCATGTCCCAAATAAAGCATTGAAAAACCCCACTCAGAAGTAGCTACATGTATTTGGTTTTTACTAAAGAAACCAAAGAGTCTGCAGGTCTAACAAGGTTCCACTTAATTGTTGTACAGTTTGATTACTCTAATTGATTATAAGAACGGGTCTGATATTAACTGTAGTACATTTAAGTAGTTTGATCCTGATGCTATTATTTACCTGTTTACAGGTAGTGCAGAAAAAACGACCAAGATTCCGACACCAGAAGAAATATCTGTGAAAGCTGTGTAAGTAACAACTGACGTCAATTACACTTCATCTCGTTCCTGTAAGCTGAGGATTGCTACACAGTCATGTTACAATACAGGATATTTATAGTGTATACTATTGTCATTATAATTTGTACGGATAAATTTAAAATTCAGTTGGCTGAAAAGTCTGATTCATTTGTTGGCTGTTGATGATTTCACTGTTTAGAAAGAGTTGACAGGGGTGTAAAGTCCCACCAGTCTGACCCCTGTGGCTAGTAGATTTTATGTGAGGCTAGAGAACATTTTGAATATTTCATAATAGATAAAATACACCACCAGGTCAGGCTAAAGGATTTTGTCAAATCTGCCTGTGGGCTGTTTCTTTGTTGCATAAACTCATTCACCCCTAAAATTTCCATAATGAACTATTCCAACCTTTGAATTGGAAGAGTTCAAAATGTGTCTTCAGGGGTGAATGGGTTAAAGTTATGAAATATAACATTGTTACTCTGATTTTCAGTCCATCTGACGTCTTATGAAGTTTTCGATGAGGAAGGATTTATTAAAATGAGTTAAAAAAATAATTTTCTTTGCTGGAGATGATGATACATTAGAATGATAAATTTTGGCAAATATAATGTTTAAATACAACTTTTATTTTTTGTAGAGAGAGCCATAACTTTAACATTGATTTCTTTTGTTGTCCTTGTATATTAAACATTGATCTCTTGTGTTGTCCCAGTAACTTTAACATGGATCTATTGTGTTGTTATCCCTGCTGTCCTGATTAATGAATACCCATGCATATTAACTTTCTTTCTTTCTCATATGACTTTTACATGATTCATCTCTCTCTTAACCAACTTTTTACAAGGGATTGTCTGAGATTCTCAACCCTAATGTAGTTTTTCAAGGTAACTGAGACCCCTTACCCATTAATATTTATTTTCTGTTTTACAGAGAACCCCCGCCCCTGTCCTTTGCTGCAGTGAAGGTGAGCCCCACCTCTGGGGCCGTGGCCTTTAGTAAGAAGTCTCCTGACGAGGCCACCAGTCCCAGCCGCCCGTCCACCCTTCCCATGCAGACTGATTCTCCCCCAACCACCAAACCCCACTCCTCACAACCTATCCCTGTTCCTGGTCAGGTACAGGCCTACCACAGGATTTCTGCAGGCTCACCGTCAAGTCCTCGTAAAAACAGCATGGACATTTCTCCGACATGCTCCAGTTCAGGTTCCAACAAGGTAGGGTACTTTATTTAATAATGTTTAATCGTCAAAAAGAATTATTGCAAAAGATATTTGACAGACAGTAGTCAGAAATCGACCAAAGCTAATCAAGAACCTTATATTAGACATATTCTTACTTATGTTTGTCACATATTACATCATATATTACAGGGAAAATCAGTTGTAAATCTTTACTTGCACTAGGTAATATAAGTTGAGACATACTTTAATGCATACTTGCCAACTATTTGAAATTTCATATTACGGGAGATTATGTGTGCTTAGAATTAAAGGAATAAATAAAATGTGTGTATAGGGAAAACATAACACCTCATACTTAGAAAATAGATATAGTTTAGCAAATTCACTGGTTGAAAAAGCTCTATTTTAAGGTCAAACTCGGGAGTCTCCCTCCAAAATAGGGAGAGATAGCAAGTATGTTAACAGAAAATTAGACACAACACCCTGATTCCAGAGAAGTTTTCTTTACTTACCTGTCTACATATCTATGCTTAAAAAGTTTAAAAGTTTTAATTGAATTTTGTTTGTCTTGTTTAAGGACTCGACAGAAAAGAAAGAGATAAAGACATCACTGCCAACTGTGGAGGCCAAGCTATGTGGCCCTGACATAGGGTCACTCTCTCCACCCGCAGGTACTGTACTAAAGGTTTAACAGATTCAGTTGTTAAAGCATAAGGAAGACGACAATCATTTACAAAACATGTTTTAAACATATGAGAACATTTTTCCTTTTGAATTTTTACTACAAATATGTGTCATTGAAAATAGGGATAAATGTTCGTACAAACAAAATAAAATGGTGATAAATCATACAAAATGACATTGATAAAGATGCATATAATATATTGATCATTGGTTCTTTAAACTTAAAAGGAGGTCAGTGTTATCAAATTTACACGAGTGTTTGACATGTTTATACTGTTTTACAATATCTAGTGGTCAGTTACACTTAACAGAAATGTACAGTCATGATAGAATACAGTATCACTTTATTAAAAAAAAATATTTTTGCTTTTATAAACAAAATCAGTTGCAAAGAAAGATTTATTTTAGAAGCAGAATGATTTTTGTCATGTTTTTTTTAAAGTGAAATTTTCCATCGGGACTCCCCCGAGCACTGGGCAATGGAAGAGAGGGAGTCTTGGTTCCACTCCCTCTCGCTACAGCACCACGCCTCCTAGTGTCACCAACTCACCTCATCGAAGATCAGGTACGCCAGTGTGATGATGTCAGTTGTGTTCTATGATCTTTCCAAGTAAACTTGACAATAATTCTATAGAATTTGTCCATCCCTCCGTCCGTCGTTCCTTTTTGTGTTCAGAGCATAACTTTACCCACATTTAAGTTGGGATCATGAAACTTGGTGTGTACATCACTCATACTAAGACGATGTGCACTGTGCCAAATTTAGGGCTCAATTTATAGAGTTATTGCCCTTTTTGGGGAGCAAACATCAGTTTCACTGATACTCTTGTTTAAATGAAGTTAATGTAATCAATTATTGTGAACCTTTGGATTTTCGTCTTTATTTCTTCTTTTAATCTCAACAAAATACTGAAGATCTGAAGAGTTAAAGTAATATGTTAAAAAAAGAAATGTTCATGTCAATAATTGAACAATAACTGCTAGCCCTAACCTGTCTATAGCAACCACCTGTCTATGATAACCACCTGTCTATAGCAACCACCTGTCTATAGCAACCTCATTTTCTGGGCCCATGAGTGATCTCTGTAGACAGGTTTGACGAGATACAAAATGTAAATATATCAACCTGCTGTTTTCTGTAACAGGGAGCAGTTCACCTCAGTTCCCTTTGGTGGCCCCCATGTCGTTACCTGCCATTATCGGATCCCCACCCAAGTTGGGTAAGATTAACCGTGTAAGCCCAGATGGTGTGGACTCCCTACCAGTCAATGCACCCTTTGGATCGTCAAGACCCAAAACTGTACCAGACGACTTGGCCACCATACCATATAAGAGCCCAGCACAAGGTAAAACTGTTTGAATAACGTTTTAAAACCTTGCAAATCTTGAGTCATTTGCTGTTTTGAAGTTTGTTATAAGAAATTAACAGTATTAAATGATAATCCTTATTTAAAATAATCAAAATTTCTTAACTTTTGCAGTTTATGATATTGAAACTTCTGGATTACCCCCAGTAACAAGGTTCTGCTTTTCAAGCAAATTTAATGAAGTTTCACAGTATACATACTAAGTGTCTAGAGTAATAAGTACTCAGTCCAAAGATTTGTATGCAGTATAAATGCATTAATTGACTTGAAACCAAAAATTTGAATAGAAAATTCTATAAAATTGAAATATAAAAAATTACCTACAAGTAGATGAACTTTTATGCGTTTTACATGTCTTTCCTTTCTTTATATTATATACGAATCATAAAATCCGTTCTTCAAATTTCAGTTACAGCAGCGATTCCTACAGTGCGACGCAATTTACTAGAACAGGGACGTTCCTCCACGGACCCCAGTGTATTATGTAACCTGGAAGGAGGCAGTCTGTTGTCAGAACAGCTCGTCAGAGCTGCATTTGGAACACCACCGCAGCGTAAGTGCTAAGTTATCCTGAAAGACATGAACAGGGTGAGGGAGGGGGTATCAATTTAGTTACTTTTGTGAACTTCTACTTATGACTTAAGAGCATGGTAAGACAACTTTAGCACCTAAATATTATCATCTTACTGGACAAATTGATACTGTCAGATAATTGGGTACAGTACACTAACCACATTGTGTAATATGAGCTTAACTAGGCTTTGGAATCAGCCTTGCATAGCTTAACAAAGGTCGGTGTCATACTTCATATCTTTAGTAGTTCTAAATTGATAAATCTTATCAAATATGAAAAAGACCCCATTTTGAACTTGCTGTCTTGTTGATAAAGGTGAAAATGTACAAGTGAACAATTCTTGTTTTTCTGAGTCACATGTTGTAAATTTTATCAAATTGATTCAACTATTGCCTGATTTCAGCCTTCAACAACCAGGGGTCAGTGGTGCCCTTCAGCAGTGGGGGCTGGCGGGGCAGTAAGGAGAAGGTTAGCTCCCTGGGATCCCCTGGGAGTGACAAATCTCTACCCTCCGACACTGACAAGTCGACGACCTATGTGAGACGTAACGCGGAACCTTCACCCCCTCCCTCAGTCATATTTGCACAGTCCCCCTCAAACATGGAGGGACCTGTGGCGTTTGTAGCTCCAGGACTAGCGGAGGAGACTCTAATGGATGTATGTAGACATGTTCCTTTTAACCATAGATTAGTTTTATATATAGATGTATAGTGAGACAAGATCATTACTAAGTCAATGTATTACTGTGATGTTATACTGTGATGTTATACTGTAATGTTTATAAGATTTTATCATTTCAAATACTGGATTCCAATTATTAATGTAAAAGTAGTAGTGCACTGCTAGCCACGGTTTAGTGCTATGATAAAATTCAACATTTTCACATGTTCCTTATATAGCAAAAACATGAGAAATGGAAAATGGAGCTACATTATAGGATTAAGTCAAATTTATTACTCTTTGGGGTCTGGAAATCCTTCAAAATCTGCCTGGATCTACCAAGTGTTTTTTATTTGTGAGGAGCCCAAGCAATGTGATTGGTACAAAAAATTATAATTATGGGAGGTTCTGAAATCCACAAAAACCTTATGGATATACCAAGACACTGAATTTGTCAGGAGCTCAAGTAATGTGATTTGCATAAAAAAAGTACAGCAAAACATGTGTGTAATTTGTGTATAGAGACAGTCACACCATTCTGATTTTAACATTAAGTAGAATAATTTATTTGAAATATCTAGTAACACAAGTTCCATAATTTAATATTAAAGTTATACTTTATTTTGTATAAAGTAAAACTTTGATATTACATATTTCCAAACTGATGAATCTTACTAAAGTGCCATAATGGTTTACCCAATGACAGTTTTTCCAAACATTTATCGTTACGCAGGACAATCACAACGAGACGATGGCGAAGCTTAGCTTTGTTCTGGACCTGGTGGAGTGTATTGTAGAGCTGGCACAGACCAGGGGTGCTCCTCTCCAGGGCTTCACCGAATCTGTCAACCTCAAACAGGTCAGAACCATCAATGTCACTCAGAGGCTTTACAAAATCAATAGAAACAGGCACCGAATTATTGTTTAAGTGCCAATGCTGGAAAATGTGACATTTTGATGAGAATTGAAAGTGTAACAAGATTTCTTTTTGCCATAAAGAGATTTCTTACTATTCAAGCACTTTGTTAATTTTGTATTTTTTTTCCTACAGGGAGAGACACTGCCATCAGAACACATGCCAAAGTTTACAGAAGCACAGAGGTAAATGTACTTCAGTATTAGAAAGAAATGTTTTTTTGCATAACACTTTCTAACAATGTAACATTTTGATTTCAATATTTCAATTTAATTCAAAGTACATGTTTTGACTGTTGTGTTTGAGAAAAAGAGGTGCATCGGTTCACAGTGTTTCTAATGATTGTCCCTTTCTCCAGGCGGCTCGAACAGTTGGTGCTGTATGTGAGGTCACTACATCTTCTGTCCTCCTCCCTCCAGTTGGCACGAAAGGAAATTAAGGAGGAGCGGTTACAGATTTCCACGTCTCTCAGAAACGGTAAGACTGAGTGGATTAAATCTTCTAAAATCCACTACAAGAACATTTTTCATTGTTTTTCATAATATAATATTATTAATAATAATTCGAGGTTCTTTTATACTGCTTTATCACAACCTAGTTCGTAGGTCACCTCAAAGCGGTTCACAAATTATTAATCGTGGTTATAGGGCCTTCGCAACCAGCCAGTCTCTTTCTCAACTCTCAGCTAGCATTCTACAATTTTAGCACTGCCCAACCACATACTCATTCACAGCTGAGTAGACTAGAACAAAGATACAACACATTGCCGTGCCCTGACACGAACCCACAAGCCTGGCGTCCTACCACTAGACTACCTTTCCTCATAAATTGAAGGAACTGTTTAAAAAAAATGTGGTTGACATTTCAAATATCAGTGTCCAGTGTTACACTAAATGAATAAATACTGCTGGTTTAGATTTTCGAATAAAAATTCTGAATTTTTGCTTGATTTCATTGACAGTTTTGCGCCAGATGAACGAATCGTATCACCGATGTGTGAATATGTGTAAACAGATCCAACACAGACTCGGTGCCGGCATTCAGAACACTCTCACCCCTCAGATAGCTGTGGCCACTGCTGATAAACTCATCTACAACTATGCTATAGAAATGGTAAGATATTTATACAACAGTAAACATGACACATCAAAATTCCGTTGATGTTAAGTCAAACACGCCAGTGAGACCAGGCCCCAGGATCATGAAACGATCCTAAGTTTAAAACTGTCTCAAGTTTTGACTTAGCCAATCACAGATAACGTCACGAAAAGTGACGTCATACGTGATTGGCTAATCAAGTAAAAAAAAATAATCTTAAGATTATTTCATGATCCCGGGCCCTGATCCCAACCCAAAATAAAGATTTATTTACAATTTCTTGTTGCATGTGTAGTTCTCTATCACAGGATTTTATAGTAATATACTCTTCAGGTATCAGTATCTTTGCATGTTAGTAATATTTGTTTTAATATGAAAACTTTACTTATGAAATTTTTGCAACTGTTTTTTTTTTTCAGGTGGATCTATATAGACTAATTGTTTAATGTAAGATCTGCACATTGCTACAGCATATCACATGTTGACAAAATATCTGTTCAGACCCTATATTCAGATAACAGAGTAAATTAGACTGGTTGAACTAGATACAGTGTTAACTTCTGTGTTACAGTGTCAGAATGCTGCTTTAGACGAGCTGTTTGGGAATCCAAATGAGGTATATACAGATCTTAAGTTTTCCAAGAGGATCTATTTTTACATCAAACTTTTACCAGTGTTGGATATAATGTCAGAGTCAGTGGCTTTGTATCATTGTGAGAAACACAGGTTTGAATTGTAAAATATTCCCAGTTAACCCTTTCACCCCTAGGCAACTTGAGTAGACTCCACCATACATTCATCTGGATGAGTCCACTATGGTCTACAGTGGTGAAAGGGTTAAGTATAACTTTTGTTTGTGAAATAAAGACCACCATTTGAAAAGTATATTTACCTAGTATGGTAGGTAATGGAGGTTTCACTGGTACAAATATACATAAATCTTAACAGATCATCACCATCTATAAAATGTGAAATGATGAATGCCATAAAATTAACTGACCATCAGGAAAGTGAAACATCAAATTTGGGGGTTTGTCATTTTGAAGGGTTAAATGTCTTAATGGATATTAATCATATAGGCCAGAGGTTGAGGTTGAATCCATACTGTATCACCTAGGATCGCCAAATTTTGTTTACAAAAACCTCTTTGGGATGGTAGAGTGTTACTTACTGATAATTGTTCTTGTGCCCCACTATTGATAGAGTTAATGTTCTTTGTTAACTGTATTGCTAAGACAGGGCCTCTTTACATACAGTCATCAGCAAATGCCGAATTGTGTATGTGAAAACCTCTTGGGATGGTGTTACACACTTAAATTGGGTCATGTGCTCCAGTAGATCAAGTGTTATGGCTTTTTTGTCAATTGTTTGGTACCACAGTTTGTCTGGAGGTGGAAGACTATTGAATACTTGTAATATTATAATGGGACATAACCAATATATTGTTTCTCATCAGATGTTAAAACTTGTGTATTTTCGTTATAGTGCTTCAGGCGGTACCAGACAGCACACCTACTTCTCCACAGTCTATCTCAACAGGCTCAAAACACGCGCGACAAACAGCTCCTCAACAAATGTAAGCTTCCTTCATTGAAACTTTCGTTGGAAACCATTAATGTTCTGAATAATTAAGAGTTAATGCAGTGGCCTCTTATAGTATTATATTTATTCACTCAGAATATTGGTAAATTTCACTTTCCGGGGCAGATACTTTCTTGACTAATTCCTTATAATGTGGGAACTGGTTTATAAATTCTGTTATCAATTTACAGTGTTAAGATACTGGTACAGTGTAATCATGATTATAAAATATGACCATTCTGCAGCTTATGGGATGTCTTCTCTCATAATACTTGAATAAATTAGATAAAATTGTGTTTTAAATACAAACCTGGCCAGGTTTATTTTCCATAAAAATAAATGGTAATTATTTTGTACATTTTAGACAAAGATGCAGTTGAAAGGAGACTTGCCAACGTACATACAGCGCCCCAAGCTTTTATCCCACCCTTCGAGACCGTCAGCTGATGAAAGATGTCTCGATGATTTCCTACTCTCCCCTACAAAGCTTTTGTCCTTTGTTTGAGCCGTTGACCTGGATATATTCAGTGTAGAGTTTTGTGTTCAATTACGAGTTTTATTTATTTATTTGAATTTTTCGAAGATGTTTCTGATTAGTCAGATATGGAAGTGTGATTTATCATGTGAAGATGGTTGTGGAAGGGAGCACAATAATTCCCTCAAATAGCACATGGTCAAGGACATGGAAAACAGTGACGGTCAAGGAGAGAGGATTGTATAAGGAAGTCTAATTAAAATGCAGAATATATAAATATTTTGGAAAAAAACTATGAAGTTTTTAGTCGGGACAATGTGAATGCAGAAGGTTGTATTCTATGCACTCGCTCATTTGAAAAGAAAAGGTGACTCTGGTATCTGTTTCTTCTACCTGATACTCATAGGGACAACCTAATCAGGTATTGCTTTGAAGTGTATCAGTTTATTATTGTGCTTTCTGACGTGTAGTTCTGAGCTTCGTGTATAATAGAGGTATTTGACGAACTCGCGACAGACTTTGTGTACTTGGACTATGTGCATCATATATTTTTTTCACTGCACAGAAAAAAAATCAGTTTACAAGGACACTTGAAATATTGATAATATCCTAGCAGGTGCTTGAGATCGGTGTTCCTAGGATCACTAGAGTTACAAGTATTGCGACACATACACAAATCTCAGGGATGGAGTGTGGTAGGCGAGAAACTTTACAGTGAAAAGATTTCAACAAGAAAATATCTGTTAATGGTCTATATATAGAAAAAAAAGACTTTAAACAATAACAGTGAAAGGGTTTGAAGTAAAAATAAACAGACTTTCAGATAAACTGGAATCCTGGTGCGGACAAAGTAATCTTGAAAAATACACAAATACATAAGCACTCTCATCCTTCTGCAAACTGGAGTTTACGAAAATACCAAAGACTAACTAAAATCCTTGATTTAGACAGGTATGAACAATTTTCACTTTTCAGTACATTGCATATGGTAGTTTCATTGTTAATTTGCCTTGAGTTTTTCTCTTAAAGAAATTAATTTCATCTTTCATCAGTTCATTATATAAAGTGGTGGTTTTTGGGGACACATCAGTTAAAGTGTTTTTTTCTCTCTCACATCTAACAGTTTTATAATTATGGGGAAACAAAACTTACATGACTCTTTCATCGACATATTTATTGTACGATAAGTGCCAAGGTGATTAGCAGCTTGCCTACACAACCGACATCAGAGCTAGCAGTTTGGTTTTCGTTGACGATTATGTATGTATTTATTCTGTATTCCACATTTAGATCCTTGATAGCATTAAAATCATTTCTCACTTGTAAATAACTGTAAATATCCTTAATATTATAATATTTATTAATGATAAAAATTATTGATAATTCTGATGTAGATGTTGCAGGTAACAATGATTATGGGACACATTATTTGTTGACATGCAAGCTATGAACATCGCATCTCTGTCTCGATTCAAATCCAGTGATTGGATGGACTACAATGTGATAGACATGCATACTGCAGACTGACAAGGGAGATAATAAGATGTGATAACAAAAAATATGTAGTTTGTCCAGCTTCGCTTTTACAGTGTAAATAACCAGCCGTGTACCATTTCCTTATTTTGTTATTTTATTCATCTGAAGTGTTTTAGTTATTTTTTTTCCTGTTATTAGCTATTCCAATCGAAATTCCAGGTATAGAATATGTTTTTACCTCAAGAGTTTCATCTCTTATCATACAAATATTTAGCACAATCCAAGTGTTGACAGATATAAATAATTTTATGCGAAGAAAGAATTGTGAATCTCCAGAATGGTATTTTATTTCTTTTTCTTGCATTATGAATGACTTGTTTTGGTTTTTAAATATTGGACTTTTTTTCAATGTCAAGAAATGTGACTTGATATGACAATGATATTATGATTTCTACGTATACACGACAGAGAGATTTGCGTGTGGTATTTTCCTTGTATATTCAGTGTACACCTTGTAGCATGTTATGTATTACAGGTTGTGTTACGTGGTAATGAAATGTGTTCACATAAAAACCAGCACACATTATTCTTGACCCTCCAGTCCCCAAGAACACCGTTAGGCAAGGCTATCCCATATATATCGGACAAGAGCCAAGTTATGTCTATTTATGCGGAGGATGCCCAGCTAGTCGGGTATGACAGGGTATAGACTAGCAGGTACAAGGCCAGGCCAAGTTATAAGTGTGTTTGTAGTACATACCGTAGTCTTTCAGTTTGATTTTGGTATGTGATGCTTCTCCGAGTCTGTACCCGTCATACAGTAATATTAGTGTGTTTTTAGTTTGTCTTGTTTGTTTAACTTACGTAATGTTGTTAAGCCTCAGTGTGATCTGTGTTGGGAAAGACCTGTTTTCACATGGCATGTGAGCTTGTTCTTTTAAGTTATTGCAATATAAATTAATTATTGTGGTAAAGTGGTATTGTCTTGCCGGATGAAAATGCATTTCATATCATTGGTTTTTAGCTAGATTGTTTTTGCTTCAGTATTTTATTGCATATTGGCCATATATGTACATGTTATGTCGACAGATTTTGAGTTTGTATTTTATCAAGAGTTTATTGGATCATGTTGATAGCAATATATACAGTTAGGTAACCAGATAGGGTGGGGGGGGGGGCTTACTCCAAAGTTAGTCAGTAGAATATGTGCCGTAAAGTTAATTCGTTTGTTTTCTCAGTTGTTCCTATTTTGAATGAAATATTCAACCAGTTGTCACAATTCTTGACTTTTATTACACTGCAAGTCATCCCAGGAAAACAAAAAATATCTCACAAAAACTGAATTTTTAAAACGTCTACAAGTTTTAAAAAATATGACCATGACAACAGTTATGCACAAGGAAATGGGAGTTTGGACAATTCTTTGTCAGTGTAAAAATTATTCTCATATAAAAAAGTACAAATTTCTTTATAATTCCCCTATATGACTCTGCAGCAGTTAAAGAATTTTTTGAAAAGGTATTAGAATACAGTTTATTTCATTCACAGTCTCATAAACTGAGAAACTTGATTAAGTCAAACAAGACCACTGTTATAAATGTGATTGTCTAGTGATGAAAGCCCTTTCAGGACATTGATCTTTTCTGGGATAATCAATTGGTTTCCATAATCAATTCAATTTATATCCGATTCTTATCATTATTGAAATACTATAAATGTATGTCTCAAACATTACCTCAGTACTAAAAAATGTTCTGGAATACTGTCTGGAACAAATTTACCCTTGATTGTCATGTTAGTAATAGTTTGAAAATAACTACCGTGCACCAGTTATATTTCAAAATTAACTATACCAGTTATATTTTGAAAATAATCATGCCAGTTATATTTTAAAATTAACTACCGTCATTCCAGTTAGTTTTTTTATATTAACTATGCCAGTTATATTTTGAAAATAACTTTACCAGAGGGTAAGATATAGTTCTTAGCTAGAACATTGTAATGGAATTCCGAGATCCAAAATGGATCAGATAAAAAGTGCTAAAGAGTTTAAAAGTGATATTAGAATAATATAATATATAGATTTTGAAACTAGATATATATCGGACTTGTATTCAACAGAATTTACAAAGTGCAATTTACTCCTTTGAGAGATTTAGAAGTAGTAGTATTTCACTTTCCACTCATATTTCCGAGCTCTGTTAATATGTGAAGACACGATAGATTTTTTTTTTGTATTTTCTGACAAAATCAGTTTTTAAATGTACAATACATTGTTACATCTTTGTGAATTTTACCATATTTGCAGGGTTTCTTTTTCAGTGTTTTTTTTTACTTTTCTTGCTATCACATTTCTGCTTATTTCTAATCTCTGTAGTTTAGTTGATGTGCTATGCCTTTCTGAGGTACTTCCATTCGTATATTATCACTAATTATTGTAATGTTTGGACCTGCTGGTCCTCACCTGTACATATTATACCTATTTATCATGCTAAGAAGCCTATATGGCTGGTACCATTGTGATTTTTAACAAGTTGTTATTCTTGTGGTTTGAATATGTTACTACTATCATGTGCCAATATGATGTTGAACCCATTTTGATTTTCAAGTAATCAGTTTTCATGGAAACTTACTGTAACTGACAGCTAAAAGGATAGATTTATTTCAATGTATCATCGAAATAAATTTGATAAAGTTGCGCAATTGATTTGACTTTAAAGTAAGAAGTGAAGTGAATACTGTGTTATATACGGAATGATTTTTAAAGCGGGTCCAATGTCATTGTGGTAAACATAGCTCGTGGCTTTGTCGTAGTAATTACATTGTTGTATTTATGAAAAAGAGGCAAGCAATATAGTCTTTGTAAAAAGAGCCTCGTCATTTATGTTGTTGTCGGCGAGAGGAGTGTTAGGGAGCGAGACGCGCAAAACTGATTAAAAAAACAACAGAAATCTGTTTGAGTGATGAATGTGTGAGTTGATTTTCCTGATCAGTCATTAGTGTGTTTTGTATTTCAAACTATGGCACACAAATAATGAAGGGACTTCATATTTCTTCATTTTGTGCAAATTTTGAAAGAAAAAATATATAGCTATATCATATTAGCTGATAGTTTGGCAAATCATCTTGATTGTGCAGAAATAAATTCCAATATTAAATTAAATCATGGCATATTTTGATTAAAATTCCACTTGTGATAATACGTAAGTTGAGATAGGTCATAGTGTGTCGAACTGTGATGGCTGTCAGAAAAAGATCACTGGTGGCTTGGAGCTGAAGGTGTGGGGCTTATAAAACAGTACGACCTCTGTTCAGATCGTTATATATACTACAAATGAACCACCAAAGTTTCTTATCTGTAAATTTCATATGTTCTGAACAAATTTTTGTTTTATTTTTCACACAAATCACTCTCCTTTTAAAATACTGTCGCTCATTGAAACTGTTAACAGTGCTTAACCAGTATGATAAGATGCCTAAAACAGGCATCTTTTACTGCAAAAAAAGAGCAGAATTTAGATTCATTCTAAATTCTAACGGTACAATGTTGGTATATTTCACTGGAGAGTGCTCCAGTACCCATTAACTTTCATTTGAACTTTCTACCCATTTTTGTCAATACTTGTGAAAATCATTCATTGTGACTTTTCTGCAGGCCAGTACTATTCTATCATTGACATCAATGATGACTAGGTCAAGACACATCATTTACAATTATAGAACCAATGTTTGATATATTCCATTGACCTTTCATACAGCAAATATGACTTGTACATTTTTTTTGCATTTTCCTTTTGATGCTTGATCTCGAGTTAAATAATTGATTTAGAATTTTTTCAAAATGACTTAATTTTTGTATCACTGATGTATATAATATCTCAAACATTCATAAATTCATTTGGAGAACAAAATTATCACTTTAATATTCTGCGAGTGTCATTTCATGAGTGCTTCACAACGTTTTCATAAAAGTATATACCTTATCATACAGAATTATCACACCTGGTGGAAACCATTGATAGAATCATCTATATTGATTTAATTTGCAGTGGCATTGAAGTCCAACTAGTTTTGTTTCACAATTATAATTTGTTTGAATTGAAGGGAAATAACTCTTGTGAGCCCAAGTTTTTTCTACAGTCGATATTTAAGTTTTACTGATACTGCCTACTGGAACGTGAAACTAGCCATGTGTTGTACTCTGCACATATACCCATGTGTTCCAGTAGCCTAGTAAATTGAGGGTAACCTCAGTATCGTCCACAGAATTAATCTAAGTCTGTGGTATGACAGAACACTAGAGTGAGTTATTCACCAATCTCCTATGCCAGTAAGGTGATGGGTGGTAGACAGGTTCTACACAGTGGTAACATGTCAACAGTTAAGTCATTGACAGTTGAAGTATTGTTGACTTCACGTTTAAGGTATTCAAATGAAATGTTATGTGAGAATGGTATATGATATGAGTGAATTATATATAATTTCAGATGAAGTCTAACATTGTACTTGAGCTATATTGAGTACAGTGATAATATATATAGGTAAAAAGAACACTTTTGTATCATTAAGACCTGTCAATACATAGCATGTATGTATCCAGACAGTTTTGTTTACTGATTAATCTTAGGACTGTAATACGAACCCTCATCAGTCAATAAATGGATGTGTCAAATGTTACTTGACTGTCTTGTTTTATCTCTCCGACTTACCATTCATCATATTTTCAGAATTGCAGACTTTTCCACTCTTCAAGCTGGGGAAAGACTTCGCAATATATCCTTAATAAATGGATGTGTCAAATATTACTTATTTGTCTTGTTTTATCTCTCCGACTTCGGATCCATCATATTTTCAGAATTGACAAAATGGATAGAAGTTTCCACTCTTCCGGTTGGGGAAAGACTGTAATATATCCTTCTGTGGACAAGCAGCCAGTGAAATCCCAACATCACTTTTTATAATCGGGTATGAAGTGGAATATAGAGAATAGTTCAATGGTTGCTAAATGAAGGCCATATGTATCTGTACATTATGATATCTTTTTCACTTGGTTAAAGATATGAGATTGGTGTGTGTATATCCCTCTCTAAGTACTACAACCTCTTGAAATGAGGTTGAAACCAGTTAAGTTATGGAACGACCACCATTAGTCGTAAAAGAAATCGGCATTGATTGATCTTGACATTTCAGGTGTTCATGCAACAGTACGAAATTACTATCACAGACAAAGAAGAATCAGAGCACTCGTATTTTCAAGCATCATTTCTTTGAACAACCAACAAAATGGTGGCAGTTACAGTGATCAGAGATTAATAACATCATTGGGACTGTTCGTTTATGCGGAACAACTGGTTTGTCCATTTTTAAATAAAATGTAACAATTTCGTATTTACAAATACAGGCCTTGCAAGGCTTTGTCAAGGCTCGCCTAAAAGCAGCTTCAGATTACCAGGTCCGACCTTATTTAATAAACAAACAACTGTGGTCCGAACGGTTCAATCATTTAAACGAAAACAGCCCTGGTTTGTAAATTGGCTGATAAAATTCTACATCCCCCATGTAACGATAGGCCCAGATAGCCAGTAGTGCTTCACCTGGACCATTGTAATGTGTAAGCTAAGCATTGCTGTTTAAGGATTAGAGAAGTTCTAAAATTCTGTGAATCTACATCTCAAGATTGTTTAGATAATGCCCGTTTGAACTTTTTGATATAATTTTAGCCTTAATGAACTTTTAAGTAGGTAAAGGTTGTTCATTAAAACAAGAAGTTGCAACATCTGAGGTACCAAGTACTGTAGCAATAGGCCCTGTAGTGTGAACCTTGAGAAAATTTGAAAAAAGATTTATCCATAATACCATACGCTGACTTTTTAACCTGTCTATTTTTCAAATTTGATATTTTATCTACACAATATACATTTGAAAGAAGATGCTTATATAGTGTTTTGAAATAACAAGCATTTTGGGGAGAGGGTATGTTCATGCAGTCTCCACAAGTCTTTAAAGAAATACATGAGTGGTCTTTGGGCTATCACTTTATATGCAAAAAAAATCACCAATTAATACTGTAACACAGATTTTAAATAAGAACAACTGTAACATATTGTAACACAACAAATTTTATATCGTGATCAAGTGAAAATGTTTCACATGAAATCAATCAAACCACTTAACAAGAAGCAACATGGACACAAAAATATTACACAGAGACTGTCACATGTAGGCATCAGGGATTGGGTAATGTATATATCACCCATGCCTACAAGACTAATAATTGAAGCCTTTTCTCTTAATTCTTACATAGACTTTTGGAGAGAAAAAAGTCAACACTGCAGGACACTGGAAATGAGACAATGTTCTAGATAGCATAAAAACAATTTTTGATTGGGCCAACATTTCCAGGTTTACATTTTGTTGAACATCACATTTAAGAATTTCGGCAGACAAGTTACTGAACACTTGTTAGCTCAAATAATATGTTTTTATTCACTTGTTGGTCTGGGTTTAGGAAAAAAGTTACCTTTAATTCAATGTCTAACTTCAAACCATGACAAACCGAACTGAGTGTCTGACTAGTTTCTATATGACGTCATGGTCATCATTGACTTTCTGACAAATGATGTAATCTAGGCATGACTTTATATGACAACTAATTATTTACATACCAAAATAATAGTGACGGAACAAAATAAAAGCTATAGGGATAGACATATATATAATATATATACTTCATGTAATCAAACAGTTTTTATAATGAGGGGGTAAAAATCCAATCACTGAAAAACTACAGTATTTCGTTTCTTTTTAACATATTATTTTCCCAAACTGACCTTCACAAATCACAAAGTGTTGAATTAACAGATTTTTTTTTAAACAAATTGTTTATAAATTCATGGTGATCACCAATTACAATGATTTTTTTTCACAAAAGTTTAAAGTATTCTTTTTTTTTGTGCCATGTGGTTTACATAATTTATAATCTTAGGAGATCATACAAATACAAGCAAAGAGTTATACTGTATATAAGCTTGATATATTGCTCTTCTGAAAAAAGTCCCCCCCCGCCCCCGCCCAAAAAGGAAATGTAAAATACCCGTTATGAATGAAGTCAGTGACTTGATGACTTTAGTGAAATGTACCCAAAATTACATCCAATGATGAAGCTTGAGGATATATTCATAAACATGAATTAACACACATTAAACTAATTCAAGGGAGACAACCTACTTACATCAATGGAATTAATTGTAAGGCAGTGTACATCCCTAAGCTTGAATATCTATTCATAAATATGAATTAATACACATTAAACTAATTCAAGGGAGACAACCTACTCACATCAATGGAATTAATTGTAAGGCAGTGTACATCCCTAAGCTTGAATATCTATTCATAAATATGAATTAATACACATTAAACTAATTCAAGGGAGACAACCTACTCACATCAATGGAATTAATTGTAAGGCAGTGTACATCCCTAAGCTTGAATATCTATTCATAAATATGAATTAATACACATTAAACTAATTCAAGGGAGACAACCTACTCACATCAATGGAATTAATTGTAAGGCAGTGTACATCCCTAAGCTTGAATATCTATTCATAAATATGAATTAATACACATTAAACTAATTCAAGGGAGACAACCTACTCACATCAATGGAATTAATTGTAAGGCAGTGTACATCCCTAAGTTTGAATATCTATTCATAAATATGAATTAATACACATTAAACTAATTCAAGGGAGACAACCTACTCACATCAATGGAATTAATTGTAAGGCAGTGTACATCCCTAAGTTTGAATATCTATTCATAAATATGAATTAATACACATTAAACTAATTCAAGGGAGACAACCTACTCACATCAATGGAATTAATTGTAAGGCAGTGTACATCCCTAAGTAATGGACAGTACTTTAATACACATATACATATATATATATATATATATATACACCGCTGCAATGGTGTTAACACAGTTCAAGACAGAAAACCTACACCAAGTAATAGAATTATTTGTAAGGCAGTGTACACCAATCCTTAACCCATTGGCAGCAGTTCCACACATACATACAGCTGAAATGATATTAAAATAATTAACTACTATTCACTAAGGTTTCATCAAAAAATGACTGAAAACAGGCATATTGACTCAAAACAATTGATGCAACAATACCTGAAAATGTTTTGAAAAAAAAAGAAAAAAAAAGATGAGATATAAATATATGCAAAAAAACAGTCTCAACAAAAGTGTTCTAAGATTTCAAATGCTATGGGACCAGACTGGTATTTGACAAACAGATCAATGACAGTGTTCTGAGATTTCAAATGCTATGGGACCAGACTTGGGTTTGACAACCAGATCAACAACAGTATTCTGAGATTTCAAATGCTATGGGGCCAGACTGGGGTTAGACAAACAGATCAACAACAGTGTTCTAAGATTTCAAATGCTATGGGGCTAGACTCGGGTTTGACAAACAGTCTCAACAACCGGGGTCTAAAATTTCAAATGCTATGGGACCAGACTCCGGTTTGACAAACAGTCTCAACAACAGTGTTCTAAGATTTCAAATGCTATGGGGCCAGACTCCGGTTTGACAAACAGTCTCAACAACAGTGTTCTAAGATTTCAAATGCTATGGGAGCAGACTGGTATTTGACAAACAGATCAACAACAGTGTTCTGAGATTTCAAATGCTATGGGGCCGGACTGGGGTTAGACAAACAGATCAACAACAGTGTTCTGAGATTTCAAATGCTAAGGGACCAGACTTGGGTTTGACAAACAGTCTCTACAACAGTGTTCTGAGATTAAAAATGCTATGGGGCCAGACTGTGGTTTGACAAACAGATCAACAACAGTATTCTGAGATTTCAAATGCTATGGGGCCAGACTCCGGTTTGACAAACAGTCTCACCAACAGTGTTCTAAGATTTCAAATGCTATGGGGCCAGACTCGGGTTTGACAAACAGTCTCAACAACCGTGTTCTAAGATTTCAAATGCTATGGGGCCAGACTCGGGTTTGACAAACAGTCTCAACAACCGTGTTCTAAGATTTCAAATGCTATGGGGCCAGACTGCCCGGTTTTGACAAACAGATCAACAACAGTGTTCTGAGATTTCAAATGCTATGGGACCAGACTTGGGTTTGACAACCAGATCAACAACAGTATTCTGAGATTTCAAATGCTATGGGACCAGACTGGGGTTTGACAAACAGTCTCAACAACAGTGTTCTAAGATTAAAAATGCTATGGGGCCAGACTGGGGTTTGACAAAACAGATCAACAACAGTGTTCTAAGATTTCAAATGCTATGGGAGCAGACTGGTATTTGACAAACAGATCAACAACAGTGTTCTGAGATTTCAAATGCTAAGGGACCAGACTTGGGTTTGACAAACAGATCAACAACAGTATTCTGAGATTTCAAATGCTATGGGACCAGACTGGTATTTGACAAACAGATCAATGACAGTGTTCTGAGATTTCAAATGCTATGGGGCCAGACTCGGGGTTGACAAACAGTCTCAACAACAGAGTTCTAAGATTTCAAATGCTATGGGACCAGACTTGGGTTTGACAAACAGTCTCAACAACAGTGTTCTAAGATTTCAAATGCTATGGGACCAGACTCCGGTTTGACAAACAGTCTCAACAACAGTGTTCTAAGATTTCAAATGCTATGGGACCAGACTTGGGTTTGACAAACAGTCTCAACAACAGTGTTCTGAGATTAAAAATGCTATGGGGCCAGACTGGGGTTTGACAAACAGATCAACAACAGTATTCTGAGATTTCAAATGCTATGGGACCAGACTTGGGTTTGACAAACAGATCAACAACAGTGTTCTGAGATTAAAAATGCTATGGGGCCAGACAATTATATCTTAGACAAAATTAGGGGAAGGTTACCCTGTATATAAGATAAACTACAGTGGAATTATCTAGTGTTTCGCCTCGATATTTAAGACGCAGATCTTTGATATCATACCCAGTAAGTAACATGAGCTGGATTTGGGATAGATTACAAATAATGAAATATGGTAACACAAACGGGACCAGCAATCAAGGATTACCCTGTCAGACAATCAAATCTATACACAGCAAGACAAAATAGGCTGACAATTAGAACCAGGCAGGGTTTTTTCATTGTCAAATTTGCATAATGAATTAATATTGCTGTCAACATAAAATATAAAACAGTCGCACAATGGTCCAAATGTATGTCTTCTGCACATCATTTTAGTACGAAAACTACGACCTTATTCTACTGATGTGCTATGAATGCATCATACCGCAATAATTAAGAAAGCTTTTACGTTAGCGACTGTGCCTCAAACCAGTCTTTGAATTTTCAAAATGAAGTAAAATTTATAAATATGCACTGTTCAATATACGCGCCTACTTGTGTATAAAAGAATAGTAGCTTTCAACACATTAGTGTGAATTTGTGATCATCATTGACTATCCACAAAAATTCAAGTGAAAATATACCTGTAAGTTAAATACCTTCTAAAAATCTCAAAGAAGTACATTATTGAGATACATGTAAAATTGTACAAACAGCAAAGATGCTCAGCAGTTGTTAGTAGTGAAGATTTTCTTACCTCAGCCTCAACACTTATTTACAGTCATGTTGAACTCTGACCTTGGTATCATGGCTTGTTTTGTAGTCTCATGTTCTTCATCAAACATACTTCAGGGCCCATATTCATGAAAACTTTCTCATGCTCAAGAATGGTTTTAGAGCTCAAGCCAAATTTCGTGTTTCAGTTGTTTATTAATAGATTTTTTTTTTTTTAAAAATCAATAATTTAGAAAAAATTTGAAGAAACTTTAAGCCGTTTGCTGTTTTCATTGTTTTCATTTTACATGATTGAAGTGAAAGAAAGTACAAGAAAGCCGGTTTGCACACTGAATCCGTGATTGAGCATGAGAACAGTTTCATGAATACAGGCCAAGTATACAACAAAATAAGAAAATACTTGTAAAATTTACATTTGTCTTAGCCCCCAACTTCGATTGAAATTGAGGTAAATGTAATATTTAATGATGGAAGAGATTCAGCACAAACACTAAACAACATTAGTGAAGCACAAAATATAGGTCACAGTGACCTACATATCATGTATTATTGTGGTATTTCTCAAAATGTAAGATTGATGAATATTGGCCTTCTAGTATTAAGAGTACCGAGGTAAGGGAGCCAAATGCATGATCTATCCAAGATGTTGTATGACTGATAGTCGCATAGGTGGACGGGAAGGTAAATAATAAATGCTCCCCCTGCACGATGTTATGGGGTTTATCAAAATGCTACAAATTGGCCACTCTTTGGTTTTAATCCTGATTTAGTTGATTCAGCAGTAAACTTTCTTGATTGGTTTTCATCAATGACATTATTTCAGCTCACTGGTTTTAAATATTGTTGTTCTCAACCAGAAATTCATATCCTTAGACAGAGTGAAATTTGTTTACTATTTGCATACTCGTATTTTTTTCGTTGTTTCAGATGTCATATTTGAACTCCTATTTACAGAGTGGGCCATTGTATCTACTGTTGCAATTTTTACTCGACAGTTTTTTTGTTTTTTGTTTTTTTTAACCCTTCCACCACTAGTACTGTAGACCATAATGGGCTCATCCAGATCAATGCATGGTAGAGTTTACTAATGTTACATAGGGGTGAAAAAGTTAACAAAATTGTACCAAGGAGTGTCTCAGATTTAACTTTTGATCTTTCTTTTAAAAAAATGCATTTTTCTTTATGTTTGAATATCAGACGTAAATTCTTTGGTTTTAAGGTAATACATGTAACAGGAAAATCTTATATGGCAACATAATAAGTAAAAATAGAAAGTTTTTAAAATTAAAGAATATATGGATGGATTTTTGTAACTCTGAATAACGGACGAATTCTGAATATATATATATATATCAAAATCATATGGAATTGCTGTATGACAGAAGTAAACGACAGTAAAATCACACAGAGAAAACCACAGCAGATCAAAAAAGCAAACATTTCCATTTTAACTCATTCACCACTGAAATTTCATAATGAACTATTCCATCCTTTGAATTGGAAGAGTTCAAATGTGACTTCAGGGGGGAATGATTTGAAGTGGAGGTCTCATCAAAGTGGCTGAAACAGACAACCAAATGAGATTTCCTCATGTCATGTAAGAGAACAGCATCGCAGACAGACAAACATCATGTGTAACGTGAAAACAAAAAAAAGAACAAAATTTGTACTGTATTTATCTGGTTATAAGCTCTCCAATATCTATTGCAGGGTAATAAGCTCTCCAATATCTATTGCAGTTCAGTAGAAATCTCAATTAAATGCTGTTTCATTGTCCTGTAATAAGCCTATCCTTTACTTTAAGTCAGAAATTATGTGTTGGTCCCCTGGGTTTATTGCACGATAAATATGGTAATTCACTTGCGGTTCTTCTACTATTTTTTTTAAATACTTCTACTTATTTTGTAATTTTGTGGAGTAAGTAGCATATTTGTACAGAAAATCTTTCTCACATTCAACATAAGCTTATGGTATGTGGGTCTCAGGTTGAGACAAAATAAATGAAATAGGCAGTCATTCCTGTTTCAAATCAAACTACAATATTCCATGTAGTGACAACTGGATTTTAAGGTTGAATTTTCAGTTCCTTTACAAAGATGAAAACATTGTAAGCCTTTGTCCTAATTTCTGTTCTACAGGTCTATCTGTCCACGGTTACAGGTCTATCTGTCCACGGTTATAGAAATTCCAGACTCATCAATATTTTGATACAAAAAAAAAAGTTCCATACTCATGAAAACATTGATAATTTTTTTTGTTAAAACTCCTGTAGTATGCCTCAAGAAAAGAATTATTGTGGGTGGTGGGGGTTACAAAAAATGTGGAAATTGTATTAATAAAAGTGGACAAAAAGCGTGATGTTTCGATTGAAACCAAAAGGGAGTAATTCGACCATATAGTACTCCACAAAAAGACCGGAAATGGAACTGAAAAACCCCACCTTTGTAGAATAAAAATTAAAAGAAATTAGCCATTCTTTTTGTAAAATAAACCCCCATAGGACTATAACAGATACACTATGTACATTTCTTATATAATAATTTGATTTGTATTGCTTTTGATTTTGATAAACAGTGTCACCACCCCTTATCAAGATAAGACATGGATGAAGTTCAAAATTATGCAAATTATTGACTGTTATTTAACAACAAAATAACAAATATAAAAATTTCTGTAAAAAATGTATCTGCAGTAGATAGAACAAGCTGATTATAAGTAACTGTGTGGTATCTTACTTGAACAGTAAAGGTGATAATTATTTCATTTAAATAATTCATAAAAGGCCAAGGTAATTTGATGTAAACTATTTGAGAAATAAACCTAATTGTTTACCTTGTGGTATAAGTAAACATGAAAAAGGCAAATGTTTTCAAATAAAATATATCTATTTAGTTGAAATTATTGCTCTTAAAATTCAAACACAATTACACAATAAACAAAAGCCTCCCCCACCCAAAAAATGTTTTTGGCCCGAATCTTTTATCTGTAGTAGTGCAAACCATCTCTGCTGAACACAACATTCAAAAGTTATATCAACTTGTACAAAAAAATGTTTCAATGACATGACTTTGAGCATAAAGTGTTACTTTTCTTGGCTACAATGCACACTCTTTAGCAAACCCATCTGGATATATATAATATAATATTACCATTATATCTCAACATACAATATACACAAATTCCTGCATAAATAGATTATTCTCACAAAAAAAATAATCACTCACAAAACAGCTATTACAAATGTATAAAAGACATTTCCAACAATTTGATTCTTCAACATTTGCAAATGCAATATAGAACACCATACACAAGATTATATGTTTAGTATACAAGAGATTTCTTTAAAAAAACATCTCTATTTTTTTTTGACAATGTGGAATACGATATTTAATTTATAGCTTAAGAGAGATGCTATCATAACTCCTCCTTCTGATTGGCTATCATAACTCCTCCTTCTGATTGGCTATCATAACTCCTCCTTCTGATTGGCTATCATAACTCCTCCTTCTGATTGGCAGAGTCAGTGTCCATGTTGGATTGTGTTGAGTCCTGAGCCTCAGTTTCAGAAATTTCTTCTTCCTCAACCTCCATCTCCGGATCCTGTAGGTCCATAGATTCATTAGAAGCAATCAGATCGTTATAGATCATGATTGGGTCATTCATCCAGTGTTTATGGAAGGATAAAGCTGTTCTGGCCGACAGGAATTCCGCACTGTAATCTGCTGGTCGTGCCTATAAACACAGGTAACAATGGATAACATTATGCAAAATTCAGGTAGGCAACAACTGTCAAAGAACTATCAACAAAATTCAGGTTGGAGATAGCACTGTCAGAGAACTATCAACAAGAGTCAGGTAGGCAACAGAAATGTCAAAGATCTATCAACAAGAGTCAGGTTGGAGATAACACTGTCAGAGAACTATCAACAAAACTCAGGTAGGCAACAGAACTGTCAAAGATCAATCACAACAAAACTCAGGTAGGCAACAGAACTGTCAAAGATCAATCAACAAAATTCAGGTTGGCGAGAGAACTGTCAATGAACTATCAACAAAAGTCAGGTTGGAGATAGCACTGTCAATGAACTATCAACAAAATTCTGGCAAGCGACAGAACTGTCAATGAACTCTCAAAGAAATTTAGTGATATTATAATGTACAGCCATGCCGTAATGTTTGGCGCAACATAATATTCTGATTAGTATAATTAGTAATGAATATAATTTCTACGATTGTACGTAATTTTCAACATATTTTTACGGAAAAATAAGTGCATTTAGTTGCACTACATTGAAAAACTCTCATTTTATTGACATTTGCAATTTTATAATTTACCATTTTTAGCCTGTCATGGTGTTAGTTTATTTATGGTGTCTCTGATGTGATATATCTGCAACATAAGTGCTGTAATAGTATTAAACATATGCCGAATTATACTACGAAATACTGCTCTGTATATGTGTATACCATATATATGCTACCAACAAGAACCTTATGCTTTATTAAATGCCATGACTCACTCAAGCCATCACATTCACAGAATTTGTTTTACCTGATGGAAGTACGGGCTGTGTACCAGGGGTAGTCCTATCGCTTTGAAGGTGCGACCCAGGATCATGTCATCTGGGGCGTCATTGGATGGACAGTCTGCGCGGTGAGTCAGCACAATGACATCTATAGCCTCCCTACTGAACACCATCCTGTCAATGGTTAAGGTTTTATCAGCATAAACATTGTACTATTAGTATGACAAGAATTAGATACATTTGCCAGAACATCTTCGGAATCACACATCTACTCTTGATCCTTAAGTTCTGTCAATTCCGCCAGGAAAATTGTTCGGTTCAAAATAATTGCTACAGAATTTTTGTTTGTCTGCAATGAAGGGTATCTTTATATGAGAAATGAAAAAAAAGGTCGCCAAAATCCAAATTGGGGAAATGTTGGCAAGCAGGCATCTCCATCCATTGATATGATTTTGACCTTGAACATGTGACTTTGACCTTTCCATAAGCTGTCTCTAAATATTGATTTCAGGAATATTTGAGTGAATTTTTTTAAGGATTATTGACAAAATGTTTAGTTAGGAACCTGAAGAGAAACCAAATGATGACAGAAAAAACGGATAGATGGACACAATGATGTCAATATATTGGGCATACATATAGTTGCTTATAGTTTGAAAGGGAAGTGATTTCTAAGATTTATTGGGCAAGAAATGCTCATAAACAGACAGGGGAAATTCTTTTTATTAAGAAGATAGGCATATTTTGTATTGTACATTGAACTTTATCTTACCCGCCTCCACCTGTGATGTAGGTGTAGCCATGCTCATTCTTAGTCACCATATAGCCATATTTCTCTCCCATGTGGATGGGGAAGTTGGAGTCATAACAGGCTAGTAGCTTCCTCAGTCTCCTCAAGCTGAAAGTACAAAGGGGAGGGGATTGATATTCCCAGGGAACACTGTAAATGTAATTAATTGAGTTAAATCTCAGTGAACTACATTTACAAACATAATGAAAAGAACAGTCAGTTACCATGGTATCCATTCGTTGTTCAAAATTACAATGACAGGTGGAAAGGTCAACATTAGAGTGGTGCCAGCGGTGGGATACCTTAAGAAAACCAGGTTCCGTAACATGTACCTTGGTGTATAAGATCTAATGGATGATATCTTATCCTTCTGCTATGATACATTTTGGAGTAACTACATTGTATTAAGGTATTAACCTTAACCCTAAGAAGTTGTTAATTTCACAATTTCAGACACAACTAAAAGCAACATATTCTTGATTCCTGTAACAACTTACTTGATAATTGTGTCATCGTCAGCAATGATGAACCAGGGAATCTGTGATATCCGGGGATGGGATTGTAGCCTCTTTATGATGGCCATGGTCTTCCCACAATGCCCTGTAATAAATCAAACAATATGAGTATTGTACAATACAAAATATAGCATACTACGGTTACATTTGGTCATCAAAAAGAGGGTTCCTCTACCCCCTGTATTGAATGCTGTTTGGGTATTACCATTTTATGTTAACTCATTTTCATGCTGATAGACAATCCACGTCTCTATTTTGTCTTCCAGATTTTTTCCCCCACAGCTAATGGCCTCTCTCGCAGGAGAGTTCTAAATCGAAACAATCCATTATTACATAACAATTAAATTTCGAGTTATCGCTTCTTTACCTTACATTCTCTCAATAATTACACAATAGTACGTACCCCTCTCCGTGTTGGGAATCCCGAGGTTGATGGTAGGGATTGTCCTGTCTTCCACATCACTGTAATACTCCACATTTTTAGCTTCATTGCCCCAGGTCTTTCTTACAATAGGAACTAGGACGAAAGAACAAAATGTGAACTCAATATGTGTCAACTCAGTTTTCTTTATTTCTAGTTTTAAACTTTCCAGAAAGTAGAGGAAGAATCAGACTATTCCATCAGTACCCTCCTCAAATTCCATTTTTTTTAATCTACCCTTGAAAATTTCATTTTTCTCATTTCATGAATGCTTTATTGATAAATCAAAAAGAATTGGAAAATGGTAAAGCCTTAAAAAAGCCCTCTCCATGTTATAGTCTGTGTTCTAAAAATAGAATATAATTCAAAGATGATTGATGGTAATATACACTAGGTTCCCCAATGAGTGTTGGCTAGTTACCATGTTTATCTAACACAAGTTAGTTAATTTCCTAATTGTTAAAAGATACAAGGTTTACTGAGTGTATTTTTATAATTTCAGATTGAACTAATGGCATTACTGGGATCAAGATAGGATACCAATTTTAATAGCAGTTACAGGGTACTAAATCTATATAACTTACCTCGTTCCTTGTGATACTTGGCACACGTTTTCACTGCAACATAAAGGTCCTCCTCAGGTATTTCTGGTCCCTGTAATAAATATAGACCATATACTAACACACCCAGAAGTCTAATATCAGTGCTTTTTCAGTGTATTTTAGGAACTTTTGGGACAGTATACTGAAAAGGGAAATTTAGAGACAAATTTAGAAAACATTTATTAGCGAGCGATCCAACCAATTTCATTTTCCTTATGATAAAAATCTTGTACTAACAGTAACACCACAGTCAGATGTTAAGTATGGTCACCAAATGCTTATATACACAACATGCAAGATAAGACATTGGGGGGGGGGGGGGGGGGGGGGGGGGGGGCTTAGATCACCATTTAAAAAGTCTTTTACATATAATTATAATATTATGCAATGTCGCATGTATGTACATGTATTGTCTATACATTTATTAATTACCAAAAACGAATATTTATACCATACAAGTCTCGCCCATTTAATTTATGCATGCATTAATTCTTTCATTTGGCCATCGGAATTCCGGGGAATTCTTGTTGTGTATAGACTTAAAATACACTTTCCGTTTTACATTTTCTGGAATGTTATTTGACATATAGGAGTACCTAACGTACTGACACGTCACAGGTAAACAGGAACTAGGTACTTACACAGTCCGGGAACATTACTGGATACCAGGAGGCACATTTCTCTGACTTTTTGACCAGACAGATCTCGGTGACCGGGGTCAAGGTCACGTTGATGGCATCACTGTAGATATACTTGGCCAGCTGTCACAGTAAATAGAAAGATTATTAGTTTCCATAAAAACAAAAACGGAAATTGAACTGATGTTAAAATGTTTAAATTTTCAGTAGATTAACACTGACTAAATATTTATTATGAGGATTTATATTAGTCTTACCTCATGTTTGGGGTCTATAGTAAAGTCTTACCTCGTGTTTGGGGTACATAGTAAAGTCTTACCTCATGTTTGGGGTCTATAGTAAAGTCTTACCTCATGTTTGGGGTATATAGTAAAGTCTTACCTCGTGTTTGGGGTCTATAGTTAAGTCTTACCTCATGTTTGGGGTCTATAGTAAAGTCTTACCTCATGTTTGGGGTATATAGTAAAGTCTTACCTCGTGTTTGGGGTATGTTTGGTGTCTATAAAGTAAAGTCTTACCTCATGTTTGGGGTCTATAGTAAAGTCTTACCTTGTGTTTGGGGTCTATAGTAAAGATTTACCTCGTGTTTGGGGACTGTAGTAAAGTCTTACCTCGTGTTTGGGGGCTATAGTAAAGATTTACCTCGTGTTTGGGGGCTATAGGAAAGTCTTACCTCGTGTTTGGGGTTTATAGTAAAGTCTTACCTCATGTTTGGGGTCTATAGTAAAGTCTTATTTCGTGTTTGGGGTCTATAGTAAAGATTTACCTCGTGTTTGGGGTCTATAGTAAAGTCTTACCTCATGTTTGGGGTCTATAGTAAAGTCTGACTTGAACTCTTTGTCTGGCCATCTTTTACCCATCCTACAAAAATACCACAAAATAACTCAGCTTTAATCCCTGCAAATATGCAAATGTCAAAGAACATAATCTCTTTTCCCTTGAACATTTCTGAAATTTATCTAAAATAATAACATTGATTTTATACATTGAATTATCAAGATGGGTCAATTACCATGCACAATTTTTCTTTTATCATATATACACTCTTCTCTATACCACAGTATACAGTATAACAGTATGATCAATCCACAACTACAAATGGTCTGTGTAAGATAACTTGAGAAGTAGCTGGTAACAACTTTGGAATGGATTTTACTGTTAATGAATGTTATGTCTCAAATTAGATGCACAAATTAAATAAAGTCAAATTGTTGAGGATGGTTATCAACATCCATTTAAACAAACTGCACATGGAGAAATTGTCCATCGTAAAGAAATATTTTCATGTTCCTTTAAAAAGTACTTTGTTGAAAGCGACACCATGTTTAGTATTCATGTAAAAATGGAACAGCTGATGACAATAAAGTATTTGTTTTTAGATTTTTTCCAACTAGTTTGACAGTAAGTAGTATTTACTCAAGTAAAACATGGAGTTATTTTTCCATTGGCTAGTGACAGGGGATCTTGAAGACGCTGTGCGCGATTCGGTTGACTTTTAGCGACTGGTGAACTATATAGTTTAACACACAGTGTTTTCAAGGTTTGTCATTCAACAATTTTCTCATCACTCACTGGTGGATAAAATATTGAGTTCAGCTGCAGTCACATCACAAATTTATCCAAAAGCTCTTATTAGAAAATTGCTCTCCCAACAAACCCTGAAAACTCGATGTAACAGTCCATAAATATCATTCCACAGTTGAACATCATCAGATTTCCTATCATAGTAATAAGGACATTCTGGATAATTTACTTACTTGGATAGAAGTGGTTGGCTAAACACAAAGCCAGCTCCCCAATCTGCATATGCAAATTTGCTTGGGTTGTCATGGAAGGCATAATGATGTATTATGGTAGGTGATTGGTCCCTGAGAGGGTGACCTAGATACAATTCCTGTCAATCAAAAAACGACATTCATGCATGATGGTGTACAAACAGTGTTTATCAGTAATAATACTTTGAACATTTTTATGTGATAAAAATGCATAATATAATAAGATTTTTAATATCAATATTTGTTACTTTCCACCACCGGTTTCCCTTTCATCCAGTCACAACCTGATTCCATGTCGTTGTATGATAAATTTCTATAAATAGTAACTGTGATCTTAATGCCTTGACTTATAGGAAGCTTGAAATACATTCAAGGTATTCTCATACTTGACCTATTTATAAATGTCAACCTGGTAAAATACTAGCCGCCATTTCCTACCAACAACTTGGACAATTTCTCTATTGACAATGCAGTAGACTAGTAAACCAGAGGTTCCACATTTGACCCCAAGCAAAGACATTGAAATAGTAATGACCTCTCAAGTAAAATTTGATAAAGATATAATTAGAAGTGAAGTACTAGAGTGATGACACTAAATCAGTACAGGACAGGATGGGCCAGACAAAGGTAGCACTTCTGGTAAACCACTTACTGGTATTAATAATTGCCTTTGACCTCTAACCTTAAAAGCTTACACATACATTTTCTCTTCATTTTTTTCCATGCATGCATAATCCTGCATCTCCAAAAACAAATGTGTATGTGAAGCTCGGTTTTTAAAGACCAAAGGGGAATGAAACTATAGCTTAGAAACTGAAACTATAGTAATAGTGAACTTGACCTTCAGCCTTCCGATATCAAATAAAAGTAAATTCCTCATCTTCTATACTACAGGGTTCACGTTAACATTTGCTCTCTGCACCCCTGGAATGTGTCATAGCAAAATTGAAGGCACGCGACTAGCTATTTGATTGGTCTCGGGCAAAAAAACCTGACCAATCGCTAGGCTGGTACCTGTCCTTTGAAGATTACAGAGGAGCAACATCAGACTTAAAACCAAGTTATTTTACCATTACGCAGTTGCAAAGTCCTTTTGATGTACATCAAAGGATCAAACTAGTCCCCTTCTCTCATGCACATGGTGGCTCACACTGAGCCTTTGATTTTGCCAGGACATTTTCCAGGGGTGCAGAGAATATAAGTGAAACAATGAAGAGTTTACATGGTAAGTACTTTGAGGTCATTACAGGATGTAGAAATATTGTGTGGACAATACAGCAATAGGTACACAAAGACAGAGACAAGACTGAACAAAAAAAGGGAGATAATTCATTAGAATTTTTGTGTTAGTTCTCCTAATACTGACCTTGGTGTGATCAAACCTCTGAAGGACATTGACCAGTTTTTGTACGTCTAGTCTGGTCTCTTCCTCACACACAAATAACCAGGCAGCATCAGCGTATTCCTTAGCAAACCTACAAAGTCAGTAAAATGTTTGTTCTATAGTTAGTGTATCTGAAATGTATATTTTTTCTTTGAAAATTCATATTGGAGAAAATGGCTAATAGGGTTTTATTACAAGAATGGTGATATCAAGGGGTATATGATCGTAATATCCTTCTTAAGGAAAATATGCAAATAATTGTTTCACAAAGTATCAAACTCAGATCAACCAGAAAACATCTGGACACAAGAACAATTACAGATTTTATACATTTGCAAATTGCAGTAAGTATTACGGAAGCAAATAAAATAAAAAGTTTACAATTATGGTCTGGTCCTAAATACTTCTAATGCAATTCAGTGTAAATAAAATTGTTCTATTTTGATAAAATACAACAGTGGTGACTGATGTATATATCTCCCACATTTGACATACAATCTAGCCACATTCAAACTTTGTTCTAAGCTCAATTGGCAAGATTTTGAAACTACTGGGCTGCTGACTGAGCTACTAATAGAAAATCTGCCCCCAAAAAAGGCTAGATTTACGAGGATGAACTGTACAGTGATTCTAAAGTTGGATGTAGACTAGCTACAATAACGTAGCTTCTGACGACGAGACCATTTTAATATTACCGGCTAGGGCAGAGGAGGCCAGGTATTAATATATAACTACTACATGTAGACTAGCTACAATAACGTAGCTTCTGACGACGAGAACATTTTAATATTACCGGCTAGGGCAAAGGAGGCCAGGTATTAATATAACTACTACATGTAGACTAGCTATATTATTGTTGCTGCCAATGACAATATGTCTGTGACAATAATCTCAGAACCTGTTTGGGTGTAAAAAAGTTGTGCCCAAAGTCAGGAGCCAAACCAGCACCTCTCCGAAAAACGGGTTTGACCGTTCCTTATCAAACATTCCAGTACTCCTAGGATACTCGGCGCTGTGTGTGTGTACAGTCGATACTTACGTTGGAAGTAAAGGGAAAACAGCCCAAGCTCCTAAAACATTTCTATGTTCCTTATGAATGAATATCAGCTTTGGTTTTTCATTCTGAAAATATAAAACTTCAATGTTTTAAGAATAATACATAGAAATCGAGAATTAATTTGAAACAAATATATTCCTGTCAATATGTTTCAGTGTTTGAAGTCAAAATACCAAAATTTATGGCTTGTACATAAAACATAACTTTATATAAGTGATTTCTGTTTGTTAATGTATTTTTATTATATTATTGTTTCATGGTGACTGTTTATCTCTGTTATATGTTGTGATATGTAAATGTCCATGTTCCTGTCTTGATAAAGGGGCGGATCACCCTGAAAATTTGACAAATTATTTTGTCTGCACTGTTGTTATTACTTTTTTGCCCATATATATCATATGTTTGATCTGGTATAAATGTAGATCTATTTCTGTTTTACTATCTTCAATTAACTTTGTGTAGGAGATGAAATGTTAAGTAGTAGACCCAATGCAAGTAGGAAACAGGGCCATAATTTTGGCATCACTGTATAAAAATGTTACTAGAAAAAAAAATACACTGGTACAAGTACTTACATCAGACAAATCTTTGATCTGAGATTCAAACTCTTCCTTAAATACATCAGCTCTTTTTTCATGGTAAGGATTTTTTTGACTCAGAACTATGAAGACAATATCTTTCAGCTGTATATCTGCAAGAAACACAATTCAAATGAATCAGGTACGTGAATATAAGGAATGAAAATTGATAATAAAGTTTTGAATAATACATAGATATCAGAATTAACATAAAGTACTAAATTTAAAATGACCGTTTCTCTCCAGAATAATTCTCCTCCAATATCGGCTTTGTTGTCAGGGAAGGAATAACAAATATTTGACAACTTGACACTGGTGACAATGCTGGGACTGAAAGTGTAACCCTAGTTGTTAGAATATTGCCTGTAGACCTCTCTAATAATATATATATACAATGTATTTGCATTGACAAATTACCTTTAAGTTCAAATTAGATTCAATTTAATAAGTTTGGTGAAAATATCAAATGACTTTTGACTTGACATGAAGTTTCAACAATCCAATTGTGAAATTCATTTGAACTTGATTTGTACACAGAACAAATCCATGGCACTACTTTAAATAATTACTGGTACTGTGCAATTATACATCACTCTGGTGTCAGGGCCAGAGGAAACTCGGGCTTATATACTCAGAGGAACGCTGATGTCGCTGAAACTATATAACTACATTATCATAATTACATGTATGTCTGATCCCACTGATAAGTTGCATCAATGTTTCCTAGATCAAAATAGAGCTGACACCCACATCATCTATTACATGCTTGTGTGCTGTTTACTAGGGTGTGCTGGTGGCATCCACACTTTGAGCACCGGCACAATTAATTTCTCTCAGCATTCAAATCACTCATTGATGTCTGTTTTAGACTTTTCATTCTAAACTAACAAAACTGATAGGGTTTTTAAAAAATCTCTATATATGCATACCATGTTGACAGGTAGAGAAATAGCAGAAATCTTTGTCACTTTCTTATATAAAATACCAAGCAAGTCACAGACTATGTACGTTTCATATATACCACATACTAATTAAAACCTTCTTAAATGCTACTGTGTAATCTGAAAAGTAAATAAATACAGACTATTTGCCCAACCTGATTAAAATTAAATTCAAATATTAACTCAATTGCTTTCACAAGCGTAATATTAGATACTTTAATGCCTGTAATTTGAACTGACAGGATATTGTAAAGACAGTTGATCATTGCTTGTATGTTTTTCTAGCTTGTGTCTTCTTACATTTTAACTAATTTAACAGCAGGTTTGGGGACAGAAGGGGCCTGCTGTACCCCACAGCATGTTAGTGTATGAGGCAACTAAAATAATGTGTGGTTGATGCATATACTACTACATTTTTTGTGTCTTCATAGAACAAAGCAACCACTTGTGTATGAGGCAACTTATATGGGACCCATGCATAATACTACTTCTACATTATTTGTGTCTCAATCTGCTTATTAAGGCATCTAGACTTAAAGAAGCCAAAATTAATCTGCTTGCCCTTGGACTGAAACTTTTGAGATCTGTACGATTTCTTTTCTCACTTTCCTACGCTCTCTTTTTGGTAGTGTCTTGTAATAGCTTTAAAGTCCTTTCTCAGGATAGTGCTCGTTGGCATGTTTATTCATGGTGATGGCTCCTTACAACATGTGCACGATCCCATAATACCCTTGTAGAGGAAGGGAGGTAACTCACTGTACACAATACTTCAGTACACTATTACTTCAAGGGTGTGCTACACTATCTTTTACCATTTACTACATGTCTCCCTAAGCCTATTTCTCCATATGAGTTTAGCTGAAGCGAGGGTGTTGAACACCATACAAACCAACCCACCTAATTGAACAGGGCCCGTATTCATGGAACCGTTCTCATATTGCTCAAGCATGGATTTCGTGCTCAAACCAAATTTCTTGTAACACTCTTAAATCATGTCAAATGATAAAAAAATTAAAAAAAAAATAAACATTGAAAAAAGTATTTCGCTTTAAATCTCTTATTTTTTCCCCCAGAACATTGCAAAAATAAGATTGTACTCTTTAACAGAACAAGAAATTAGGCTTGAGCACAAAAACCATGCTTGAGCATGAGAATGGTTTCATGAATACGGGCCCTGGTTCCAGCTTTCCATTGAAAACATATATATACATTTTGGAGTACAATTTACTACTTGCTGCTTCCTTCCAATATTTGTAATAATGCATCACTGCATAAAGGGCAAGAAATTAATTTTCTTTAAAACACTCAAGACAGTCAGGCTATTAGTTTCCAATTTTTACTAGTCCATATGCAATTTCCAACGTTACCTAATATGGTTCAACATGCTTTAAGTAATTATAAATTTTAACTAGTCAATAGAGCTTAAGAAGCACAATTGTATTTAAAAGTCCTCGGGCTGGAAATTGAATATATATAGTCTCAAACGATCAGGGTATACTCTTACTGTCTAGCCTGGTGCATAATATGCATGCTATAAATACATGTACACTTTCTGAAATGCTTTCTCTTACACAATATCGATATTAAAAATAAAAAATCAGTCATTAAAAAATATTTACACATAATCAGAGACGTATATATTGTAATATATACGTCTCTGACATAATGAAGTGTTTTCATAACAGTATGTTATAATGTACATGTGCAATTTGTGTCTGAATTAAATTACTGAAGAACAGAAAGCATTTCTCAATAAGTAAAATACACTGATGTGCCATATCAAAGTCAGAATGAGTGTTTTATGTATAATAGTGATGGAGGATTCAATAGTTTCCGGATGTAATTGTAGCCAAATTAGTTTTATGCCTCAGGGTCTGAATCATGCATAATTAACACCAGACGGGCTTCATAGACGCCACAGCTATAACTAAACACAGCAAAGAGGGATGGGAGTTATTTTATGAGTTCTTGTGAATGTATACAAAACCTGTGAGGTGAATATGAAACATACAAGTACATGTAACTAAATGTACAGCATAATTGTTATATGTCAATCTCAGATAAAAACCTACAATAAATAAGTTTTACACTTTGACAATAACAATTAATGAATTATGTGATGCTATTTAATGTGCTTGGTACCTGAATTCGATTCTTCTTTACTATCAGTGTTCTGTTTCTTTCCTAAAACAATCGAAATTCCTGCAAAACAAAACAGAAAGATTTTATTTCATGAAGCAAATTTTCAATAGAGAATCAATCACCTGTTGACTAGTTAGGCCTTAATGGGAGATAACTCAATCAGTCAAACACAATCTGTCGTGTGCTTGGCGGCGTCGCGATGACTGGTAAATACATTATGCAAATGTTCGGTTTGATTACAAATAAGCACGCCTTTTCTGCTTAGATTTTTTTTATAAATTGATGACAATGCAATTGTTTTTACCTGTTATAACTGCAAGCAGAAGTGCCAGCCGGTGAATCCCATACACGTCCATGTTTACAAACGTCAAAAAATGTCTAATTGAAAACCTTAATTTGATTGGACGAAGCTATATTTCGTCCAATCAGACACGGTTTTACAAACATCCCCTTCACTCCAAGAATGTTTACATCATGGCGGCTCAGCAAACGTATCCCCGATGGTTAATAAATTGTAAACAGGGAATCAGCGATTCAAAGGTTAGTATCCGCATAAATAAATTAACAAATAATTCTGAGGGTTATGTATGTTTTTTCGGTTTGTGTGGTTTTAAATCCATCTCCTCCTAACGAGTAGAAAAACATTAAAAACGTCGTTCTGACGTGCACTTCATTCCTATGTCAATGCTGTCACGACCAATGGCGAGTGTTGTCCAAATAGAAATACAGACACAAACACGCATGATCCAACATTTGTACAAAGTTGATTTGTTGTTTTAATTACTTGCCACTTTTTAACAATGGTATTGAGTAACTATACCAATTCGAGCAGGAATGGAACACGTTTCTGGCAGAGTTACATGAGGCCATCCAACAACAGCTAACAGAAAGTCATGTCCAGTATTTCACAGACTTGTCTGAGGCAGAGAAGGATCTGTTCATGGAAAGAGCCACAGCCGCTATCGAAGGAGGTATGTAATAATGTCGCCATGGTGAACTACATGTACAGCCATCCTCAATGCCCAAGGGTTATGCTCACTTACGTAATCTGTTGTACATGGTCTTTATACACAGGTTCATTGTAAACGGTCTTCAGATACATCATCTATTATAGGTGGTCTTTATAGACAGTTAAATATAGGTATATAGAAACAGGTGATCTGTTGTAGGTGGTCTTTATAGACAGTTAAATATAGGTTTATAGAAACAGGTGATCTGTTGTAGGTGATCTTTATAGACAGTTAAATGGGTCTTTATAGGAACAGATGATATGTTGTAGGTGGTCTTTATAGACAGTTAAATATAGGTATATAGAAACAGGTTATCTATTGTTATCTTTATAGATCTTTATAGGTTAACTGGGTCTTTAGAAACAGGTTATTGGTGTTGTAGGTGGTATATTCACAAACCTGTCTAAGAAGGTCTCGGTTCTCCTGGATCAACACCTTAATGAAGAGGTTTCACGCCAACTGTTGGAGGATGCTCCTGTTGGAACAAAATCCGACCTGATTATAGAGAATGCAGAAGAGGGCTCAATCAGCATGCTGAAGAAATGGCCAGACATGAAAAACAAGCTGAACATTTGTCTAAACCAGGCCCTCCCTCTTCCTCTAAGAATGGTAGCCTGGAGGCTCTACCTCGTCAATAACAGAGGTATGTTTCATATCAGTCTTATTCTCTTCTTACCTTTGTTGTTTCATTCTCTATCCTCTTCTTTTCTGCACTACTAACCAACCATGTGATCTGTCTTCCAGACCCTCACTGCATTGTCCTTCTTCAATGTATTGCTGCTCTCTAACTGCACAAAACCTCTCACTACATTGCCTGTTTTCTTTCTGTATAGCTATAGCATAACCTCCTTTCCTCCACTACCCCTCCTTCACTGCAAGTTACTCCTGAACTGCAATGCAGCTTCCTTACTGTATTGCATCACCTTTACTGAAATGCCTCTCCTTCACAGCTCTGCCTCTCCTTCATTACACTGCCTTCCTTCACTGTACTGTTGCTCCTTCAGTGCACTGCCTCTCTTTCATTGAACTACCATTTAACACTGCATTGCCCTCCTTTACTCCACTGTATCTCCATCACTTGACTGCCCTTTGTTTACTACACTGCCCCTCATTCACTTTACTGCCCCTCCTTCACTGCTTTATCTCTCCTTCTTAATCCTTTCTTCTTTCTCTACACTGCCTTTTTTTTTTTACTACACTGCCCCTTCTATACTGTACTTCCCCTCCTTTATTGGACTGCCTTTCTTTCACTGCTGCACTGCCCCTCCTTTCCCACACACCCCTTCTGTCATTGCACTGCTCCTTCATCCCCAATATTGAATATGGATTTTATTGCTTTGACAAAGTGACAGAAACAGGGACAGGAACCATCATCCATGTTCCATTGTTTGGTTAAGTTTAATTCATTCACTCCTGAAGGCACATTTGGACTCTTCCAATTCAAAGGTTGGAATAGTTCAATATGAAATTTCAGGGGTGAATGAGATAATGTCTTATCCATGCTACTAACGTATTTCTTACAGTAAGAAAGCACTATGTGGACCAGCTTAACAGCAACCCGAGGGCAGCCATCTCCCCATATGACCTTGAGATCACTCAGACGTGTGAGGCACTCATCAATACGGAGCCGACCTTTGCTGACCTCAAAGGATCTGTAGGTGAGTTGCAAAAGAAAGGAGAAAGAATATAAGATGCTTTCATGCCAAGGGGTGTAGGAAAGGGAAATTCCACCCTCTGGTTTTAACAAATTTGAAAACCCCATGGATGGTATTTCCCTATCCTACTCCCCTGGGCATGAAAGAGTTTACTCTCATTCCAACTACCAGAATATAATAAGCTAAGAAACCATGAAAATACGTTTGGACTGGCTACCATTTTGAAAATATTAAATTTTCCTCTGAGCCTTTTGACAAAAAAGAATCTGTCAGCGAGATTGACCATACCCCATATTTGCAGTTTGCACAGATGAAGTTATCTTATCTTTGTAACTTCTACGGTCAATATTTTGTTAAATGTTTTTTCATCAAGTCGCCTTTTCCACATTGCAGCATTAGACTTTTCTAAATTTGTGACGTCATGTCTTTGTTAAGCAATTGTGACGTGACGTTACGTGAAGCGGGGTATAAGATGTAAATTTCTTACATCCCTTTCTCACCCTGGTTGACTTTATATTCCTTGTCGTCAGGGTCATTTTATGCGATGAAGGCTGTTTTATCGTACTACCACGCCTCTCTGAAGACCAAGAATAGACTACGTGACGTTGACTATCTCCTTGTCGTACCTTTTGTCAAAGTTAATGATTCAAACATGCCAAAGTAAGTACTTGAGTAAACCTCTTTGAACATGTTTTATCTCAAGGATTTTAAGCCATCCTATAACCTTACGCTGTCTTGTTTCAATAAAATCTCATTCTCTGAAAGAATCAGAAGGGAAATATTAAACAACATGTTCTGTTTTCAAATGATCTACTTTCAATTAAATTTCACAAAGGATGTATTATAATATATGTTTTTTCATAATTAGCATTAAGAGTGGAACACAGTCAAAGTACCTGTCTATATATTTGGCTATCTGAGTCCAGTTCAGATTTCAGATGATATTGTACAGTAAATTGTGTTTTCTGAAGTTGACTACTACATGGTGACATATTACATTTGTAATATGTTCTGATAGGTATCATGTTTATTGACAAGTTGCTATGACATGCTCCACTGACGATGTTACAGACGTGAGCCGCCGGCTGGTCGCACGATTGCAGCGTTGGTGGAACAGTACATATCATACATGGAATCTCGACCTGGCTTTGTTACCGATACTGGTTCAGATGTAGGTCACTGTAACCACACTACCACCTGTCTTAACTAATCCCTAGATAAAGTTCAGGACCTGTCTATTGAGGACAGATAAGTTATGATCAACCCCTGTTGATAGAGGGCAGATAGATTAAGTTCAGAATCTGTCTATAGAGGACAGATACAATTGAGTTCATGACTTGTCTACAAAGGACAAATATATTAAGTTCAGAACCTGTCTATAGAGGACAGATACAATTAAGTTCATGACTTGTCTACAAACGAAAGATATATTTAGTTCTGAACCTGTCTATAAAGGACAGATATATTAAGTTCAGAACCTGTCTATAGAGGGCAGATAAATTAAGTTCAGAACCTGTCTATAGAGGACAGATAAATTAAGTTCTGAACCTGTCTATAAAGGACATATATTAAGTTCAGAACCTGTCTATAGAGGACAGATAAATTAAGTTTAGGACTTGTCTAGAAAGGACATATATTAAGTTCAGAACCTGTCTATAGAGGGCAGATAAATTAAGTTCAGAACCTGTCTACAGAGGACAGATAGATTAAGTTCTGAACCTGTCTATAAAGGACATATATTAAGTTCAGAACCTGTCTATAGAGGACAGATAAATTAAGTTCAGGACTTGTCTATAAAGGACAGATATATTAAGTTCAGAACCTTTCTATAGAGGACAGATAAATTAAGTTCTGAACCTGTCTATAAAGGACATATATTAAGTCCAGAACCTGTCTATAGAGGACAGATAAATTAAGTTTAGGACTTGTCTATAAAGGACATATATTAAGTTCAGAACCTGTCTATAGAGGACAGATAAATTAAGTTCAGGACTTTTCTATAAAGGACAGATATATTAAGTTCAAAACCTGTCTAAAGAGGACAGATGCAATTAAGTTCAGAACCTGTCTATAGATGGCAGATAAATTAAGTTCTGAACCTGTCTACAAAGGACAGACATATTAAGTTCAGAACTGTTCGATAAAAGACAGAAAATGTATAATATTCTAAACCTGTCTATAGAGGACAAATGAATTAAGCTCAGAACCTGTCTATAAAGGACAGATTTATTTAGTTCAGAACCTGTCTTACTCTATAGAGGACAGATACATTAAGTTAAGAACCTGTATAAGAGGACAAGTAACTTCAGTTCAGAACATGTTTATAGGGGATAGAACAATTAAGTCTAGAACCTGTCTATGAAGGACAGTTAAATTTAATTCTTATACACTAAGTTCAGAACCTGTGTCAGAGGACAGGTAAATTCAGTTCAGTACATATTTATAGGGGATAGAACAATTAAGTCTTGAACCTGTATACTGAGGACAGATAAATTCAGTTCAGAAATTCAGTTTATAAACTGTCAATAAAGACAAAGATATTAAGTTCAAAGCCTGTCTATAGCTGATAAATTAAAAAAAATCACATTTTCTTTATTATAGAATAGTTATTTGTCAAAGACCATTTTTACCATGTTCCAAATCATTTGTCTCTACATAACTTTACAATAAGTCAGTCAAACAAAATTATTTTTCTACTTATTTCTCCTAAAAATTAAAATTAAGTAGTTTATTTATGTATGCTTCTTATGTTTTACTGGATTCTATTTTCTATGTAGAAACATGAGGATGAGATGGCTGCCTTCGTGGATAAGATAGGTAAAGAACTACAGCTGAAGTTTCCGAGCGTGGCCAAGGCTGTCGTCAACAATGTCGTCAGTACCAAGGGTAAGGCACTCCTTAAATTTATCTTCTACGTTACCACATCGGGGGTAATATATACTGAAATATACAGTATAATTGTAGGTTGTATATCTATATCAGGATAATCCATCAAAATCACCTTCAAAATGTCTTATTTTCGATTTCATCGGGTGATGAATTGAGTTGGTATTGAAACAAATTTAATGAACTGATGGACTGTATTCATATGCACAGGCAATGATAATCTGGTCAATTCCATCGGCAAATGAAATGGGTTAACACATACGGTAGTTGCATGGAGTCCAACTTGAGTAGAAATTGAAATATTAAGGAATGAAATAACAGCAGTATATGGTTCTATTTCACAAGTGATATACAGTTTTGGGTAAATTCACACAGAGTCAATTGAAAATTAAAAGGTCTTCTGAATATTGCTTTATACTTCAAACAACGAAAACAATATACTCATGATCAAATCTTTACTAATAAACCATTTGAGGCACAATTGCAAAATCATTGATTTATTGATTATTTCTAATTCATTACTTTGAAACATTAGTGTTTTATTTTTATTTAAAATTAATTTGAAAGATGCACAAATAATTTGCATCAAAATTTAGAGAAGGTCTTATTGTTTTATTATATGACTGATACTTATTAATAGATACTGAAATTGCAGTATTCACTAAATCCATACTGAAAGAATAAAATGTAATGTTTACATAATAAATGTGTTATTACATATTGAATGTGTATTTACATAATGAATGTGTATTTACATAATGAATGTGTATTTACATAATGAATGTCCATGTATTTACATAATGAATGTCCGTGTATTTACATAATGAATGTGTATTTACATAATGAATGTCTGTGTATTTGCATAACGAATGTGTTATTACATAATGAATGTGTTATTACATAATGAATGTGTATTTACATAACGAATGTGTATTTAAATAATGAATGTTTATTTACATAATGAATGTTTATTTACATAATGAACGTTTTTACATAATGAATGTGTATTTACATAATGAATGTGTATTTACATAATGAATGTCTGTGTATTTACATAATGAATGTGTATTGTGTATTTACATAATGAATGTGTATTTACATAATGAATGTCTGTGTATTTACATAATGAATGTGTATTTACATAATGAATGTGTATTTACATAATGAATGTGTGTTTACATAATGAATGTGTATTTACATAATGAATGTGTATTTACATAATGAATGGGTATTTACATAATGTCCGTGTATTTACATAATGAATGTGTATTTACATAATGAATGGGTATTTACATAATGTCCGTGTATTTACATAATGAATGTGTATTTACATAATGAATGTGTATTTACATAATGAATCTGTATTTACATAATGAATGTGTATTTTACATAATGAATGTGTATTTACATAATGAATGTGTATTTACATAATGAATGTGTATTTACATAATGAATGTGCACCAGTGCTATTTTCGGATGTTTTTTCTTTTGAAATAAACTGGTAAATTTCTATTGTTCTATAAAAAAAGTTACAATAAAATTTCAGAATATTCAAAACATATATATATACATGTATGATATTATCATTATCATTGAATACAGAAAAGATTGTGGAAACGGAGACTGGTAAATACGCCCTGCTGATGGAAGGACTAACCTCACTGGTCCGACCTGTCATACGCAGCATGTTTGTCAGTAAGTACTCCAAATCCTTCTATAAAATCATTTTAAAATTACTACGACAGATTTAATAACTGAATTTTGAGTTCAATAATGGTGGATCCAGATTTCAAAAAGGAGGAATCACAGTGTACACTAAATCCCATGGTGGTTCGAAGTGGGGGCATCTCCAAAAATGCCCCAAAACTATCAACCCATATTCCCTACTCCCATGCACTCTTTCTGGATATTTTATCCCCTCCTCCCCCTTTCCTTTCCTCCCTATAAAATGTGGTATTGAGTATTGAGGGGTCATATAATCTAAGATGTCCATCATGTGATCTTATAGCATCGTATCTGGTCACGATTCACTGTCACGACCTCATAACTTCATTTTTTAACAGATTTTCAACAATTTAAAAATAAAAATGCTAAATTTGTTTTGAGCACATACTGTAATAATGAAAACTTATTTTGGGAGCTTTTGAAAACATCTGTTTCCTTTGTCAAGCAAATAGTGCAAATGACCGATGTCTTGACTAAACCCGCTGAAAACAACTCAATAAGCCCGATGTGCCGAAAACAGTAAATTCTGCTGTCAGAAAATATTGAAACATTTAGCCAAATAGCACTCTTATACTACAGGCAGTCAGAGGGATGGGGAGTATACTTACCCATTCTGCTCCTTGGTGTGTTCCGCCCCTTAATATTTATAAAATGTTCAAATATGAGGATACCTAAGATGAGTTGGAATTTCATTGTCTCAAGGTCAACACAAAGGTCACCATTGCTATTTATAGATCAACCATTGCTATTTTGTTTGTTTGTTTGAGTGGTTTTACATCTGCTTCAACTACTCGGTAGTGAAAAGGACGTAAATCCGCTCAAACAAATAAACTATTTTTTCAATAGATTCATTGTCATCGGTTTACCAACTTTCAGATGCAAGAGAGAATTCATATCTTACTAACATTTTCCAGTTTCTTTTCACCATTATAAGATTGTCTCCCTTACGCTGGGATTCCCACAGATTGTAATTATTACCTTTCTGTTTGCCAGCCTACCTGAACTTTGACACGCTCCTGTACGTGTGGGACCAGTATATGATTGGCTCCAACACGCCAGGGTTTCACACAGAGTGGCTGGCCAACGTCACACTGGTGTTTCTGGGACTTCTCAGGGAAAAACTCAAGGATGCAGATTCGGTAACATTTTATCAACAATTTATCTCTGATTATTCAAAGTAATATCCAAGTCAGACAATCACCTAGCAACCTTTTTTGCCTGAATATCAATGCAAATTTATCGTGTGTAATTTGAAAATCACAATATGTCGGTTTCAGGATGGTGATCACTTGAGACAGAGTTTAACAGTGAAGTGATGAATAAGAGTTTGTTGCTAATTAATCTAGTTTGACAGGATTTATTACTACAGTAAAATTATTTGATGATACTTTATGAAATCAAACCTAATATACTAGAAATACTTCTATTGTAACATTCAACTATACAATCACCTTGAACACTTACCAGTTTGGCAAATTGAGACGGATTGTAGAACTCTCCGAATTCCCCAAAATAGTGTTACATAACAACCATTTTCAGTGTATCATGATGAAGAGATGAAACATTTTTGTTACATAATGTAGAAAAAGGATAAGGGACAATTATAATTGGTGCTGTTAAAGTTGTTAAAATTAAAAACATTAAATTTTAATCTTTTTCAGTTTGTGATGATCTTTTAAAATCAGCCTTGTTTTCACTTGATAATGTTCCGTCTTTCTACAGGCAGCTGCAATGGAAAAAGTACTGAAGACAGAAGGACCGAGGTTGATGATACCACAGTTTCAATACGAGGTTAGATTACAAAAGTGTTCTTTATAGCCGGATGTCAGATTACAAAGTGATCTTAATAACCAGGTGTCAGATTACAGTGTTCTTGAAAGCCATGTATCAGATTACAGTGTTCTTTATAGTTAAGTGTCAGATTCTAAAGTTTTCTTTGTAGCCAGATGTGCTATTACAGATTGTTCTTTATATCCAGGTGTCAGATTAAAAAGTGTTCCTAATAACCAGGTGTCAGACTATAAAGTGTTGTTAATAACCAGTTGTCCGATTACAAAGTGTTCTTAAAAACCAGGTGTCGTTTTTACTGGTTTTCTGATATGTTTACTTTGAAGTCATCTTGTACTCTTAGAATGTTCCTGAAAACAAAACTATATGGTGGAAATGCTGATAAATATCTCTTTTATTATTCTGTCAGAGGAAAATGCTCAAATTGATTTCAAAGTACTATGCGAACCATTTTCTTAACGTGTACTAAAATGGGTAGTGTACCAATTGTGGTAGCGTGATGTTTAACCTTAAAAGTTTCCCTATCATTAGCATTTAGTTATTTACTGGCGTTGACAAATAACAAGTTACAAAACCTAGTCTAGATCTATTTTTATACATTTACATCCTATAATGAAAACCTATACGACTTCCATTACAGGTAAAGACCGACCACTACAAGGGACTGTACTCCATGTTACAACAAGATCAGAAGGCAGCCATGCCAGTCCTGGATCCCACACAGTGTAAGTATAACTACAATGTTACCGTTCATTCTCATTGACTACCACTCTTCTTAGTAAATGCTATGCAAAAAAGGAAACAAGGCAATTCAATGGGGAAAAAAAGGACAAAGAAAATAATATAAAGAGATAATTAACCCTTTCACCCCTATGTAACTTAAATAAACTCTGCCATGCATTGATCTGGATAAGTCCTTTATGGTCTACTACAGTAAAAAGGGTTAAATGAATAAAGTTGTTACTTCAGTTTCGTAAATATACCATATACAGGGGGATTTTGTTTGCCACTTTACTTCACCCTTTTTCGCTGTTCCTAGTGATGAGCGAATTAATCATAACAGTTTTACCACAACTGAACTTTCCCTCTTTTTTTTCTGTCCAAAATGAGGATGAATTTTTTATGAAAATTTTGCCACCAATTTACTTCCCCCTTTTTTCGCTGTATATAATTATAATGAGGACATCTTTATCATTAAATTATTTTCACAGTTTAACTTTCCCTTTTTTCACTGTCCATGTGAAGGGCAAAATTAGCACCAGGCTAATATGGACTTTACTGCAATGAATGGTGAATATTTTACTGGGCAACGGTTTCTCGGTATACATTATGTGTATTGTATACAGGTTCAAATAGCACACACGATAACCAATGATATGTTGAGTTGTCGTATAATATTGCCATGCCTAGTACAACGTGTACCTCGTCCAATAAATGACCAGTAAATATAAATCAAGACAGCCTTTCCTCAGTGTGACTTAGGCATATATATCAAAATAAAATTTGATGTTTACATGATTTTTCTCTCGCCGCCATGAAGTAGCGGACTTAGCGAGACTAAGTTGTTAAATTGCTTTTCCAGTGACGGCAGCGTCAATATAAAGTTTTTGCATTTAAGTTAGTTTCACTGAAAGTATAAGTGCTAGACCATAGGTAGGATATCTCAACCCATGCATCGAATGCTGGATGCCGCCTACCTTTCATGGTCCATTGACCTTTTGAGCATCTCCATCAACATTAAGTTTTTGCGTTTAAGCTAGCTTCTCTGAAACTGTAAGTGCTAGACCAACCAAACTTGACATGTGCATTGATTGTCAAAGCGGAGCACAGGCGAGACATATCAACCCAAATGGCTTGTTACAAAAATCTTTAACGTTCCATATACATTAGATGAACACTCACATAACATCACCTATTTATTATGTTTAGCCGAGCACCCACCATGGCGTCACTGGTACAATGATGTCATACCGCCATACACCAAACCCCAGGAACGGCGACGTGCCCGAGAGGAGCGGGAAGCAGAGCGAGAGAGGTAACATGCCACTAACTGTTTATCTGACACATCAGGGCCTATTGTAACTTATAGATATAAACATCAGTATTTTCTGTACCTGTTTAACCACAGATAAAATATCTTTAACCTAATTTGAAAAGAACAAAGTATTTATTGTTAACTTAGTTATCCCCCCCATTGTTATGATTAATTGATGGTTTGGTTGACTACAAGATTCTTTTTTTTTTCTTAAACGAAATTTAGGATTTTGGGAAACAAATAACATGAACAACTCTATAATTTTTGTTTGTGAAATTTGATAACAAAGCTATTGTGAAAATGTTAGGACAGAGAGTGAAAATATAATGTTTAAATTACCTTTTCAGAATGGCCCGCATGCAGAAGGACAATGAGATCAGCAAGCGTGAACAGGCAATCAAGGAACGAAGGTTTGTATGCCAACTACCAGACTTTGTCACCATGTCCTGGACACAGTGTGACGGAATTAGGAGTACTTGTATCGTCCTTAGTCACAATGTACTTATACCATGATATATTTGTTACTGTGTGACAGTATTAACCCTTTCATCACTGTAGACCATAATGGACTCATCCTGATAAATGCATGGTAGAGTCTACTAGAGTTACATAGGGGTGAAAGGGTTAACAGTATTTATATTGTCTTTTGTCACACATCCCTTTTTACTGTACTCACGAATTACTACTGTATTGTTGCTAATATTCATGAGGGTTTTAATTTCGCGAATTTCGTGAATGTGCCAAAATTCGCAAAAAAAATAAAACCAGGTGAATGTTTTCAGATTGTCCCCATAACATCCACACTTCTTCTCTCCGATTGGAACAAAGTAATGAAGGCCTTGAAGTTCACAAGAAAAAACAATAACAACAACTCAGGCAATAACATACACAAGAACTCACTTACCTTGTACACACTGTGAACAGGTATAAACCTGTGTCCAGTTACTATGTCTGGTTGTTCTTTGCTAGTAGTAACAAGCACTCGGAACTGTGAGGTGTTCCAAAACAGACTTACATAAACTGTGATTCACGAAATTAAACCCCCACGAATAAGTTCTTGACACAAAATAGTAAAATTTTAACCTACCTAAATTTAACAGCTATACAGTAGTGATTCTATCAGACTAAGTCACACATCCTTATACTATGATGTATTGGTCGCTGTGTGACAGTATTTATATCGCCCTTTGTCACACTTAGTCACACATCTATATAATGTTTAGTTATTTTCACACAATCCATTCTGTATACATGTAACTCTGGTAGATTATATATCACTTACATTTATTGCACCCTTTTATTTGTGAACTGGCCATTTTGTCCTTATTTGTCAGGATAATAATTCACGTGTTTGTACTACATTATGAATTAATAAATGTTTTTTTGGTACAGTAGGCACGGTAGTCTAGTGGGAGGATGTACGGCTCGTGACCGAAGGGTTGTGGGTTTGAGTCACGTCACAGCATCTTTGAACAAGATACTTTACTCCGCTTGTTCAAGTCCACTCAGCTGTAAATGAGTTTGTGGTTGGGCAGAGCCAGAATTCTTGAATGCTAGCTGTGAGCGCCAAAATGGCAGCACCAGCTGTATGTACCCCAGGGAGTTGAGAAAGATATTGGCTGGTTGCAAAGGCCCTATTCCATCTTTGCATATTGCAGAGTTATCTTCTCTTGGCTACGTCATTGGTTTGTGCGAGAAAATTACGCCGTTTTCTCAAAAATTGATGACGTTACTCTCACAAAAAATGACGTAACCATCAATACCTGCTCACAAGAGCAGATAACTCTGCAATACGCAAAGACGGAATTACCACGGATGATAATTTGTGAGCTGCTTTGAGACGACCTATGAACCAGGTTGTGATAAAGCGGTATATAAGAACCTCAAATTATTATTATTACTTTAGCACAGTATTGACTGGAATTTATACAAAAATAAATATCACTCATCATATAAGTGAATCTACAATATAATTCAATGTGAAAACATTTCATCCATCAGGCTTGGAAAAATAAGGTTTGACTTCAGTTATAAGTTAAAGTATCCATAATTTTTACATTACAAAGTTGTGTTAACTGGTTACTTAATGTTATTATTTTATTTTATTTGTATCTTGTTTAATGGAGATTGCGAACTTAAGCAGATTACAAATCGCACTCATCAAGTTAATATGTTGTTTTATCTAATTTAACTCCAAAGTTTGTTTCACCAATTCATAACCCATTTCAATGTGTACAGTTGAAACTCTGTAATTCAAGCACTATATGAAAAATTTAATTAGACATGGACAGTTTTCGAGATTTCACAATTTTTCGACAGTTATAGAAAATCAGTAAAGAAGCACTACGCTAGAAATTTGGTCCCACCTTTGTTTGCTTGGCTCTGTATTATCTTTTTGTGTTAGATCTTCTTAATTCCTCTGTGTTGAACAATTGAAATATTTTAACTGTTCTTCTTTATAAAAATAAAAAATAAAAAATCCAAAAGAACTCAATAATTGCGAAATGTTCACTTTTTAAACAAATTGAAACGAAATTATGCAGGGCTTTGTTTCAGCAGTTTAAACTATAATATTCATTCACTGAAACTTGTCAAAAAAATGTTGTTAGTTTGAAGTGTAAAAGGAGCAAAAGAATACACAGCCAGACCTGGATTCGAACCTGTGTCCCTCTGAACTCTAGACATATACTCTACCAATTGAGCTACCTGGTTGCCAACGATTGACCTATTTCAGTTTTACCACATTTCTTCCTACTTTTTCGAAGTCTTTACCCCTGAAGACAAAACTGTTTTCAATCTAGGCTTAGGTATCCCCTTACCAAGCATTCACCCAGTACTTGGAACAAGGGTCGATAACAGGCACTAATTGTAACAGTAGAGAAAAAAAATGTCAGGCCAAATTGGGATTTGAACCCATGACCCTTCAAACTTTACATGGATGCTCTACCAATTGAGCTACCTTAGGTTGCCGGTGAATGACCCAGTCCAGTTGTGTGACATTAGAAACTTGCCTCCTTTGTAAATAAAAATTTGCAACTGTGTTTAGTATGTTTTGTTTGAATAATGTGGAACCTGATTGATTACCGTATTTTACCGGCAATAAGCTACCCCCTCCTGAGAAAAAAGATGGGCCAAAAGTGTGTGTTGGGGGGGGGGGGGGGGGAGGGCTTAATTGCGAGACAGGTCAATACAGTCAACGAGTCACTTAGTTCCTCAAAAAGTTGATAGAGTCAATACATGTATAATTGATTCAGCAAAAATAATTCTTCTCTATATAATTTTCTCAAATTGAAATGTCAACACTTATGAGGTTCAATTACAGATAGCGAGGAGAACGTCTACCTTGTTATCCTTGTTTAGTCACACACAGCAGTTATCATCATCTTGTCGTGTGGAGAGGTTTTATTTTGAAAGAGTTTAATTTTCACAGAGTTTTTGTGGTCTGAACGCAATTAACAAATTCTTCAGTTCTTTGTCAAAGTGAAAACAGAACCATTGAGAGGTTACGCATGAAAGAAAAAGAAAAACAGAGCACTTCTGTGAAAACTTTAGCCCACAAAATTTAAGCACACTGCGGTATGGAGAGAGAGAGAGAGCTGTTTTACACTGTAAAAACTCTCATTTTTTATACACTTTACATAATATTCCTTTATCTTGAAGCATAGAAATGGCTTTGTTTTGCTTACGGGCCCAATCTATATAGTATTTCTTATTTTGTGCTACACCACTTAATTATTTTAATCTACTTTTATTCTCATATTGTCAGATCTTTTGTAGGGGTTCAGAATTTATGGATTGTGTTCAGATCATGAATTATATATTGTATATCGAAAAACTTTCTCTTAGTAAAATTTTCCCCCTTTGCCATTTAATTCCATATTTGTCCAGTGATAATTTTTCCCTTGGCATATTTTTACTATATGTATCATATTGTTTACTAATGTTTGTTGTCATGATAAATTCGCCCTCGTTACGGAGAGCAAAAAGGGTGAAGGATAAACTGCGTTGAATTTTTTCCAAGTATACAGTAGTAAAAAAATAATGCTTGCAAAAATATTACTGTTTTACATTACACAATAACAGCAATTACATGTTTACACAATAACAGTAATTACCTGTTTACACAATAACAGGAATTACATGTTTACACACTAACAGTAATTACATGTCTACACAATAACAGTAATTGCATGTTTACACAATAACGGTCCTTACATGTTTACACAATAAAAGTAATTACATGTTTACATAAGAACAGTAATTACATGTTAACACAATAACAATAATTACATGTTTACACGATAACAGTAATTACATGTTTACACAATAACAGTAATTACATGGTTACACAATAACAGTAATTACATGTTTACACAATAACAGTAACTACATGTTTACACAATAACAGTAATTACATGTTTACACAACAACAGTAATTACATGTTTACACAATAACAGTAATTACATGTTTACACAATAACAGTAATTACATGTTTACCCATGCTCACTGTTTGTGGACCACTTGTAAACCCTGTCTTAACCACCATGACACATTTTGTTTCAGCCAATCTTCCCTATCACGTTCTGAACCGCCCATTATGTAAGATTGTATCTGTAGTTGTCAGTTTGTGATTGTAGTGTTACATGCATGTCTACATTATGATAACCCTTTGTGTTGGTGTGTGGTTCCAGTAAATTGATTGTTTTAATATTGTCAATATATTCTGGAAGGTGAGAATTTACATGAATGAAAACATATCCATGTCATATTATCATATTTATCCAGTAATTGTCTGGAAATGTGCCCACCTATATCTATTGCATTTCAGTAGAAATGCCCATGAATTCTCTTTTATTGCCCTGTAATAAGCCCACTCCCTTATACTGGGAGTCAGAGATCATGTGTAGTTGGCCCCCGAGCTTGTTGCAGGTTATATAGTTAATACAGTTATATTATCATGGGCAAAAATCGAGTAAATCATTATAAACATCTGTAGTAAGTGATGCAGAACAAGATTTTCTCATTTCATCTCAAAAGGTTATATTATACTTCAAAGTATTTCCATGATTGTCTCCCCTTGTTAATTTGAAAATTACAGTGATGGCAGCATTTTATGGTACTGTTTATAATACTTTTAATTGTAAAATGAAAAAAAAAAATTGTTTAAATATTTGTTTTACAAGTAAGGTAGTGAACAGATAAAAAATAAATAACTTGAGCGTTACCTAAATATGAAATAACAGTTTTGTTGTATGAATTTCTGTAAAGTGAGTGAATACAATAGATTTGTTGTACTGTAATAATTGATTTTGCAAATCGCCTTGTTAACACTAATTGGCTTGTTGCTGCTGTGCTGTTAATGTTTTGTACAACTGTGCAGTCAATTTTGTTTAAAAAGAGAATGAATTTGAAGATAAAGTGTGATGTATGATATGACATAGAAGAAAAAATGGATGATCGTTAGAGTCGATCATTCTCATCATAACGATTTTCATAAAATAAAAATGGGTAATAGAGTGTATTAAACACCCACTTTTTACTGATGAAATGCCAACACGTAATTTTAGGCCTACCATACAAATCCTTCTGGTGTATACACTGTTTATGATTGAGTTCTGGAATAACCCCCTTTTATATATCGGTAATTATATACATGTCAAATACGACTTTTAAATTAAGATATTTGATGTCCAAAATAGTTAATTTCAAAACTTCAAGTTTTTAATTAACAAAATTAATTTCAAATCAATGAAGTAGACATAAACATTTCTGTGCGTTAAAACTTGATAATATTTTGTGGATAAAAGAATTGATAGGAAAAGATTTAGAACCAGTGTAAATGTTTTGCTGTATGAAGCTAGGGAAACGTCTCTTCACTGACAGTCCATTGAGTTTGTGCGTGTTTTAGGGAGGAGGATGATGATTACCAGAGGATGGCAGCCGGAGAAAGACAGAGGTTAGAAACGGAGAGGATGAAGCTGGAGGAAATGGTCCAGGAGGTAAATAGAACAGCCTAGTGACCTCATTATAGAGGAGACAGTGTCCTTATAAGGTAGGAGAGGATGTCCTTTCTAGAGAGGGGAGACTGTCCTTATTAGGGAGAGGAGGGATGCCCTTTCTAGAGAGGGAAGACTGTCCTTATTAGGGAGAGGACGGATGTCCTTTCTATAGAGGGGAGACTGTCCTTATTAGGGAGAGGAGGGATGTCCTTTCTAGAGAGGGGAGATTGTCCTTATTAGAGAGAGGACGGATGTCCTTTCTAGAGAGGGAAGACTGTCCTTATTAGAGAGAGGACGGATGTCCTTTATAGAAAGGGGAGACTGTCCTTATAAGGGAGAGGACGGATGTCCTTTCTAGAGAGGTAAGACTGTCCTTATTAGGGAGAGGAGGGATGCCCTTTCTAGAGAGGTGAGACTGTCCTTATTAGGGAGAGGAGGGATGCCCTTTCTAGAGAGGTGAGACTGTCCTTATTAGGGAGAGGAGGGATGTCCTTTCTAGAAGGGGGGAATGTCCATACTAAAGATGGTATGATGTCCTTAATTAAAAGAGAATGGTGTTGTTATTAGGGAGGGGAGGATGTCCTTAATCGGGTGAGGAGGGATGTCCTTTCTAGAGAGGGGAGACTGTCCTATACGGAAGGGGAATGTGTCCTTACTAGAGATGGGAGGGTTTCCTTACTAAAGAAGGAATTGTGTCCTTATTAGGGAAGGGGCATCCTTATTAGATAGGGAAGGGTATCCCTATTAGAGAAGAGAGCATGTCTTTATAAGGCAGGGGAGGGTTTTCTTATTAGGGAAAGAGAGCATTTTTATTATAGAGGTTTTTCGTATTTTGGAGGTGTCATATTAAGAAAATAGTGCCCTGATATTAGATAGAGTCATGATATGACCAAATAACAGGGTGTGATGATTAAATGGCAGATTAATAAAATCTGTCATATGTAAGGTAGAATTTCCATAACCCCAACATCTACATGTGCCCCTGTAAAGTTGAATATGAAGATTTTCTCATTTGAATTTCTGATAAAAATATTTTATGAATGATGTGGAAATAGAACTACTTATGTGTATCTCACAATAATGGTATTTACAAAATTTTCATGGTGACCATATTTATGTTCAGGAGCGGAGGAAGAGGCTACAGGCTGAACAAAGAGCCCGGGAACAGATTGACCGTCTTCAGATGGAAGTGGCTGCCTTAAGTCACTCTAAACCTGTGAGTTTATAATATAGCTTTAAAGCAACGCAAACATGTAAACCTTTAACAAACTACAGAATTACCATCTTTACCATTCCTTCAACTTGAGGCCCTTGACGTATAAATACCTAGAAATACCTATTATATGCCTCACTTTTGGCCATTTGTTGAGCGTTCGCCCCTGTGAGGAAGGCTTTAGTATCTGTCCCCTGGCTGAGACAGACTAGAGTCTGTAAAAATGGTAGTTTCTACTCCCCTTTTGTCAGTGTAATGTGCACGGGTGGGGTGTCCTGCTGGGTGTCTTCGGCAGTATGTTTCAGTGAGGTAGCACTATAAAGTCGGCATCAGTTCTGCGCTATCACAAGGAGACAAACACGAACATATCGCAGCCTCCCGAAACACACACTTATACACTACATGCATGCATCTTGCACACAGGGGAGGCCGTCCTTTAATGACCATAGCTGTTGATAGGACATTAAACAATACTAAACCAAACCAAACCAAAGCTATTATATACATTTACACATCTCTTTATGAAAATCATTATCGGTTTTGAAGTTTGTTGGTACAGGCATTTTTTATTATTATTTTATGAAACAAATGTGTTACAAACTTCAAAATTCAATAAAAAAAACATGCCTAGAGAGCAGTTTCTGCAGTTCTGAATGACAAAACATTAAGGCAATAGTATTTTGTATGAAAATATTGTGTCATTACAAAGAATGATTTTTATGCAATTTACTTCCTGACTACATCCTAGATTTCATTGCATAACTAAGAAAACTAAAATAACTTACGTACTTCATCAAGGAACTCAAATGACTTGTCCATGTTTCAGAATTATCTTATTTGTGCATTCATTGTTACCATATGCATTGTAATTTGTACAAAAGTACAATTCTAAATCAATGTCTATGCACAGAAAACTATACTGGGAAATTTTCGCTGCGGTTTAACTTTTGCCTTTTTTGCCCTCGGTAATAAGGGCTAATTTATCATGAAAGTGAACATTAATAAACAACCTAATGATCATAGCAATTAAATATGAAGAGCAAAATTTACGCAAGGCCAATATGGATTTTACATTATCTTGTACAAGTGTAGGGTGAAAGTTTGACTCGGTGAAAGTTTCTCAGCACGCAGCGAAATATTTTTCATTTTCGGAGTCTGGCTGAAAAGTCTAATTCTATAAACTCTTTCCATAGAGATCACGTGCCTCCACAACCAGATCCTCAGCTGTTATCAGGTGAGTCACTCAAAAAATGGGTTTACCGTGGAAATAAAATTCCATATGTATCTGAAAAATGATTGGGTCAAGGAAGCCTAATATTTGTGAAGTTTCCATAGAAACAAATGCATCATTGTCGCTACTTTGTTTTAGAAGAATTCAAAATGCCTGTCAACTCCCAAAAATAATATGCCTGATCGTGAATGTAAATCATCAAAATGGTGAAAGGAGCTCTCACATTCATTTTAAATGTTTGTGGTAAACATTGCTATAATGAAAATACTCATTATCTGTTTAATGATTTTTCATTGATTTTTTGTATATTTCATTTTTACAGTCAACAGTGCTACAAAACATAAATTGATTTATTAGGATAAAACATTTATAGTATTGGAAATTGGAAATAATAACAGTTAAACTATCTTTGTATAATACATTATTTAAAAAGATTTTTTTTTTAATATATTATCTTTATGTATATAGAACATGAATAATCTGGAGACATGCAGATATGAATAAGTATGTAATTGGTAATTAAAGTGTGACATATGATATTCTGCTGCATCCAGATAAATGATATGGTCAGTCAGAATGGAAATCTTTTGGCCCTAGCTCTTTCATTATCGTGATCATCAAACATGGGTAGTAAAATATTTCTGTATGCAAAAAATAAAAATGAAATATAAGGGAAGTTGTTTCCTTGTAGTCGGTTCTGTGTGGCTCCCCCACCCACACGTGTATCTTCGCCAGAACTACTCCCTCCGATAATGGAGAATAAGCGAGCGCCAACCCCTGCCGCATCTCCTGACAACCAGACACGAGAGGTCCTCATAGACTTCCTACAGAGGGTCAAGCTGGGAGCGGACAAAAGTAGGGCTCTGGTCACTTAATCACTCTAGCTATCTTACACAATTTTCTTGAAAACCGAATTGTATCAACTTTAAAATTCCCGGTGTACATGGAAACCGGTTACAAGTTCAGCTTCAATTAAAATCATTGTCTCTACAATGCTCTGGTTGATATAATTTCATTGTTTCAAATCAATGAACACACCATTATATATATTCAATTTTGTTGACCTTAAGTTGATCTCTGTTTGACCTTGGTTTGACCTTTAGTTGCCCATGGCCAGGGAGAGGAAAAGGCTGAACTGGACAAAGAGACAGACGGCTACCTCCAACAGAATGTCAAGGACATCAAACGGGCACAGGTATGTGATTCAGAGTTAATAGGTGATTTGTAGTCAAGGTTACAAGTGTCAAGGTCATTGATAGCAAGGTTACTTATGTCAAGGTCATTGGAGAAGCCAACAAATAAATTACTTGACATTGAAAATGAAACATATTTTTAAAAAATAATCTAGTCTAAACAGACTATATAGTAGTTATTCAGAAGTTTCTCTATTTATACTATTAAAAAAAAGCTATTTTAGAAAATTATCAAATTCACATCAGGAAATTTTCATTGTAGTTTTATGACTTTAATTTTAAGAGAAAATCATCATGTCGTTATTCTGCAGATGCAGTTACATATATTTGATCATTTTAAAAAAAGGAATAAGTTTTTCAGAAAATTGTTCTTTACCTCAAACAACATGATATTTTACATCTACAGAGAGATATACTTGGCCACACGTTAAAGCCAGGAGAATTTGACCGGATGTCACCCACATCACAGCAGAACATCAGCGAACAGATGATGAAGATGATGCAGAAATGGAGAGAGGATAGAAGAGCCAGGGAACTTCAGCAGACACCCGGCAGTCGTAAAAACTCCAGGCTCGCCAACAGATAGATGTCCAGGTGTTATGAAATTGCTACAGTAACCCAAGTCACTGAAGACAGTAAGGGTGTTATAGAAAGTCCAGAAAACTCTATGACAACAAACACCAGTTGAGTCAGGATTTATGTGGGAGGGTTCTGCTTAAAGCTTGACCAGTGTGTAAGAGACAATTACCTTGTACAGATTTCTTGAAAAAAACTTCTGATTGGACTTGTTCAAAATTAGTGTTTGTCAGAAAAATCATAAAAAACCTGTGTATTGATGAATGTATTTCAGACTAAAATTTCAGTTGTATCAGGTATATATCCTTACTGTTAACAAAGTAACACAGAGGTAAGTCACGGGTCCACAGTACCATGACACTCAAAACAATCAATCACTGTTTCTTCCACAATTCTCAGCAAGTGCTATTAAAATATTTATTTATATATACAGAGTTTACACATATTACTAGAGTAGAGATGTAATTGGTTCCAAATGCCAAAACCAATTATATTTTATCACTACTTACGTAGAAAATGATCAACTTTTGTCAAAATATTTACCATATTTATCCAGCAATAAGCCCATGCCTGGCAATAAGCCCACCCATATATATTGCAGTTCAGTGGAAATGCCAACAAATACTATTTCTTTGTTTTTTAATAAGCCCACCCCCGTACTTCATCGTAGACGGAGTCGGAGACGGAGATGGAGATTATGTGTTGAACCCCTGGGCTTATTGCAGGATAGATACGGTACTACATGTAATTCCAATAGATACAGGCAGTTATTTTTATGTAATGAACTGTGTTTTATCCTGTTAATGTTAAGAGTCACAGTCACCAATCATAGACTGTAGGTCTGTAACCTTATTTGTATATGTTTGAGAGTGGACAAGTATTGATATATAGATTGATAGCTCTCCTTCCTAAAGATGCCGGGATATAGATTTATTTACTGCTGATCATATAGATTAGCAAGTGTATAGTACTGTCAGTACTGTCCCTTGGATTATGTTCAAATCTAGAGATTGATCCAGGAGTTTGTCTAGGAGCAAAGGGATGTGTGTGACTGGGGTAGGCTTGCTGTGGGTGGGTGGGTGGGTTCCATTAGTTAAGATAGACAAGAGACAGCCTGCTTGATCTTTCATTTATAGTCACCATTATTACACACTTAAAGCACTGTTTACAATTCTCAATACAGGGTAGATATATTTCCAGCTACCACTGACAGGTTCCTATGTTATACATATATATGAATGCCATCATTGATATCATTTACTAGTCGAAGGTTATATAGATATAATCATTGTTTTTTGCTCTGTTTTGATCATGTTTTTATGCCTTATACACTGTAAAAGAAAGAAAACTGACGACAGTACCGCCATAAGTTTGTTAAGTCGATCACTGATTACCAAATTTGGTAAATTAGTTATAGACGAATATATATACATTGTATATCATTGTCAGATGTAGATTTTGAGGTTTTTTTCATAGATGTTTTTCTTAGAAACTGAGGCATAATCTGACCAGATAACCTAAATAATGTGATGACATATTGTGATCGTGTTATGAGATCTATTCCGTCCTCCATGATACCGTCCTTATATACCATAGCTTTGATAGGTATTGTCTCATGTCCACACTACAGTGTACGCAGACTTATTGAAGTCAATTTTGAAATTCAGTCTACCGTAATTTTAATGTTTTAATCAAATGAATCCTCTGTGAATAATTCCAAGAACATGAGGTCTGTCCTTGGTTTGTTCCAACTACAAACGGGTTTATAATAAGTCTCCATTGAAATCTTACGTGCTCTAAATATAGATAAACCACTTAGCAAAGTGACATTTCCTTTGAATTTACGTGTCTTCCTTTATGAGGATTAAGGCATTTATTCATCATGAAAAAATTGATAAGTGTATGTATTCATGAGATATTTAATCATTGAGTATTTGCCTCGAAACCACTCCATGAGATAAACAGAGAAAGTAAGTAGGTCAGTAATTGATCAAATATATAATAAAGAATTACTGAAACCCTCTCACAGACTGAATTACCAGAATTTTAAGTGTTGTTTTCAACAAGAACTTGTGTATTTGTTTCTCAGAGTTTATATATTTTTCAAATAATTTAAGATATACATTACAGTATTTACACATTATAGCGATATTATTGAATCTCTTTACAATTTAGTTTTAGTCACAAGTTTCGAGCGAGTTAAATACGAAACATTTGTGTATGAGCTCTTTTTTTCTAGGATAAGTGAGGTTACTATCCCACGCTAGATACAAGATAAAACCCCTCTTTACCAACCTAGGGAAAATACATGTACAGCTCACATGTGCTTTTATTCTAAAACCATCACCATCAGGTCATCACTTTATTCAGTGTAACTAGGGCCACATCATCAATAATGTCACACATTTCATGTGACCTTCACGATGGGCAGTCATATTTGCGACTTATTTTTATAGTTAAGTATGGGGAACATATAAATATCTATTGTATGATACAAACAGAGAAATACCAAATCTCAGGATAAGATTTTGGTTTAAATTTCTCTGGATTCGTTGCATAGGAGTAATAGATTCTGTTAAACCAACTGCTGTTTGTATAGGACAACACGCTTTATGTCATTATACAGCAAAACATGGACCACATTTTGTTATCCATAGCTTGCTCTGTACATTTTCGTTTTGTTAATGGTAATATGATTTTATTTATTTTTTAAACATAAAACATGATTTTGTCGGAGACATATCAATACATATGTATACCCTAAGACATTAATTTATGATAATTTACTAGTTTACAACTTTTCAAAAAGTTAAAAAGTTAATTTACAACTTTTTAAAAAGTTAAAAAGTTAATTTACCATTGATATCAACATATTTATCATTATGTGACAATTTAATCAAAGAACACTGTAGATGATAATTTGCCCATGTGGTGCCAAGTTATTGAAAACAAGGGTTATCTGAAGTACATTGGCTAGACTTTGGTTGAATAAACCTCAAAGGTACCTCTATGGTGCACAGGGGCAAGGCACAGACTTACCCCCACCTCAACCCCTACGACACTATATAAGCATATATAAGGGTGGGGGTTAGCCTGTGCCTTGCCCCTGTGGGATGGTGTTTACAGTTGGTTTCATATATAAAGTACATTCCTGATTGAATGTACTGAATTTTTTTCACGAATTGTTAATGGAAATGTATTATTGAATTAAGGGGTCTATATTTGAAAGATACAAGAAATCTGTTCTTCCGTCCAAATATTTTCCATGACTTATGAAAATGTATTCATATACACTATGCAACTATGTTGTAAAGGTTTCCGCAATAAATGTTTATGAATTGTTACGTCCACCATTGTACAGATTTGTGTCATCAATTCTTTACCAGATTTATACCTGTCTATAATGAACACTCATTCTCCTTAAATACCTACAGTAATTTGGCTTGTAGTTCACTTGGGTGAATGACAATAAATTCAAAGGACTTGGTGCGTTATGGGGCATTTTTGGCCTCATAAAAAGTAAAAATTTCAGCTTGAATTTATTTACCAACTTCTGTTATAAACATCAGATTGGTTAATTGGGGCTAACTTTCTTGGTGCAGATTTTTTCCAATGCGCATGCGTAGATGCCCTAGCATTGCGTTGCTATGTAGAAATACCCAAAATATGGAGTTTTTGGACAGTTAGCATGCAGAATGGAAAGCCTCCGAATGTGACAAACAAAAATTCCTTTCTGGGAATGAACACTGGTATAACAATGTTTAAGCATGTCAAAAATGTATTTGTTTGTTGCATGCAGAGGCTTTTTGAAATTGAAAAGTGTTAAGTTAATTTCCCTCAAAATGGCAAATTTTCATCTAAATAGCGCACAACAGACGATATTCATGCATTTTATTAGGAAAAAGTGGGTTTATGTCTCTCTTTGCAATGCCACATCTCCTAAACCAGTTGTTGAATGAATTTGAAATTTCATATTCGCATACTTCATTTATTTCAGATTACAAATATAACAACTTATTCCAAATCCACGATGAGGCCGAAAATGACCCTTAACGCCCCTAGTCCTTTATTTGTTCAGCTAAAAGACATTGACCTACTTTCAAGATTATAGGGGTCAAGTTTGACGAAAAAAGTTCTACTTCTAAAGATCTATAAATTCTAGAGTAATTACAGATGTAGTTTGCTTGGATGAAGAGTTATCAAGTTTTTCAAACAAATTACCTTGGTCCATTTTCAATGTTTGTCATATAACCTGTTGGGATGAAGGACAAAGAGGTTTGTCCGAATAAATAACCTTGAACAACTTAAGCAGGGGTCAAATTGGTTAGAAAATCTTCAAATGTCTTCTTCTAAAGATCTTATAGGTCTACAGTAATAGTATTTGGTATTTAACTGGAATTAAGGGCTTACATGTTTGATGCCTATGGCTTTGAACCTTTCAAGGTAATAGGGGCCAAATAATACTTCTAAAAACCCATAAACTCTAGAGTAATGGTATTTGACTAGCTTGCTTGTTTAAATAACCTTGACCCAGTTCTAGGTCATGTATTTGGTTTGTTAAAACTTTAAACGACTTTCTACAGATCCATAAGGTATAGAGTGATAATACATTTGGCTGATACCTTGCTGGGATAAAGGGTTATTAAGTTAGTTCAAGCAAATGATTTTACCATCTCTTAGTCACAGGATTCAAATGTGTCAAGATCTTAAACAACTTCTCTAAAATATTTTGGGCAAAGAGTGACATTATCACATATAACCTAAAGATTGCAGTAAAATGCTTGTAGTGGAGTGGGCAACCCTATATTATTCCCAACATTGTTTTGAAGTAAAGTCCCTAAAATAAGTATATTTTGAAAATAAAATTATCTTAATTACTTCTATTCCTATTCTTGACGAAAACTCTTTGTTGACTCTATACCTTGAAGAAATTCCAGGAAAAGAGTCAAATTATCAAGAGAAAGCTGCTCTTTTCTGATGCTATCACTCTATTCTGTAATCAAGTGATTTGATTAAGAGTGTACAAACCAAGGAATAAGAGGTGAAAATACAAATACTGCCTTACCGGCAAGCTAGGTTTTCCAGCAACGTGGCATAACCCTAGGACGCGCTCACTAGTTCAGGGACGTCGAGTGTGGTCAGTGGCTCGATTGGTGCCCGCGCGCACGTTATATTTGGTGGCAGCGGTGGGATTCTATGGTACATTGAAGACCAGTTACCGATAGATAGTGAAGGTGATCTGGTACACAGAGGAGACCAGAGGCCAAGTCTAGGGACGAGACGTGTTAGATGGGGACTGTATGTTTTTGTAAAAGCAAAGGAATGTGAACGGAAAACACTGCCTTATTGGCAAGCTAGCTTTTCCGGCGATGCTGCATAGCCCTATGATGCGCTCATTTATTCAGCACCGTCGAGCGTGGTCAATGGTTTAGTGGATAACCGCACGCATGTTATACTATGTTTAACTTAGTAACCGGTGACTTTCAGGAAACGCAGGATGAAAATCGGCTCGAGACATTGGAAAGTGTACCGACAACTAGGAACAGACTAGTACCAGAGTGTAGTGTATATAGTTTAGTGTTCTAACCCACAGTTCCCTTCAGAGGGACAACCTGAAACCACCTTACATATAAGAAGAACATCCGTGAGTCTTAAAAAGCAAGTACAACACTTCAGAACAGTCAACAGAGTACCAATCAAGCTTATTCAAATGATCTGGATAGGAAAAACAGAAGGTAAATCGAGGTGCCAGTATGTGAAGTTTGCAAGAACCCACAAAGTTTGCGTAAGTACCAACAAGAGAGACGCATAAGGTTCTAAACCAGGATTTACACAGAGTGGATCTTTAGATCTCCGTTGCTATATCGTCACAAGCAGATACTGTGACTTCAGATGAGTGAGAGGCAACGTTGTGCAAAAATATAGAAATATGGATTTGGAATAAGCTTTGGAATAGGTAGTACATTGAATATGTGTATAAATGTGTCCCACACTTTTACGGAGACTCCCGAGACTGAGAGGTATTCTGGAGAAAAGACCAAATCTCAGAATGTGGCAGTCAG